GAAAAAAGTGGTATTTCTAAGCCGATTTTCTAACATCTGATTATTCCAAACGAAAGAGCATACTTTTTTCTATATAATGGCATATTCTTTAGAGATCATTTCTAAATAGTTAAAATTTTATGAAGAATATAGACAAAATTTGAGTATCGTTCGATAGCGAATTTTTACGGTTTTTTCAATTTTAAATTGAAAAAAGTGGTATTTCTAAGCCGATTTTCTAACATCTGATTATTCCAAACGAAAGAGCATGCTTTTTTCTATATAATGGCATATTCTTTAATGATCATTTCTAAATAGTTAAAATTTTATGAAGAATATAGACAAAATTTGAGTATCGTTCGATAGCGAATTTTTACGGTTTTTTCAATTATAAATTGAAAAAAAGTGATATTTCTAAGCCGATTTTCGAACATCTGATTATTCCAAACGAAAGAGCATACTTTTTTCTATATAATGGCATATTCTTTAGAGAACTTTTCTAAATATTTAAAATTTTATGAAGAACATAGACAAAATTTTAGTATCGTTCGATAGTGAAATTTCACGGTTTTTTCAATTATAAATTGAAAAAAAGTGATATTTCAAAGCCGATTTTCGAATTTGTAAAATTTTATGAAGAATATAGACAAAATTTTAGTATCGTTTGATAGCGAATTTTCACGGTTTTTTCAATAATAAATTGAAAAAAAGTGATATTTCTAAGCCGATTTTCGAACATCTGATTATTCCAAACGAAAGAGCATGCTTTTTTCTATATAATGGCATATTCTTTAGAGAACTTTTCTAAATAGTTAAAATTTTATGAAAAATATAGACAAAATTTTAGTATCGTTCGATAGCGAATTTTCACGGTTTTTTCAATTTAAAACTTAAAAAACTGTTATTTGTAAGTCGATTTTAAAAAAACTAGTAGTTACAAACGAAAGAGCATAATTTTTTCTTTATCTTTCTATATTCTGTAGGTAATTGTTCTAAATATGTTTAATTTAAATATGAATATAAACAAAATTTAGTATCGAACGATAGCTAATTTTGCACGGTTTTTTTCATTTTTAAACTCAAAAAAATATTATTTGTAAGTCGATTTTAAAAAAAACTAATGATTACAAACGAAAGAACATAATTATTTCTATATGTTTCTATATTTTTTAGGGAATTTTTCTAAAATTTTTTAATTTAAATAAGAATATAACAAAATTTATTCCCAACGAAATGCCGCGGAATGCAATAAATATTTACCGTTTTATTTAACTATAATTTCTATTCGATTTTTTTCTATCGTTTTGAAAATCCTTTGGAAAATCAAAAAATGACATTTTAATACACTTACTAGAAAAATTTTCTTTCAAAAAAGGTACAACGGAGCAAAATGTCTTTTCGAAAACTTGTTTAGACAAAAAAAAAGCCGGACAATTACACACATGGATGCAGCCACTGTTGTAGATCATAAGTTTGGAAGGTAGGATACAAACGGGAAATTAATATATATCTGTAAGCAACGATAAACTATTGCTAACGAAAAAAACTATTCTAAGTTAGTTCAGTTAATAGTGTTGTTTTGTCAACAATATATATGACATATTATGGTAAAATAATTTAATATTTTAGTTATTTAATCTATTTTCTTATGGTTTTCCGGTTTTTCCCATTTACTGGGAAAAATCCAGATCTAATAATTACCTCCTTAAAGTAATCTCCCCAGTCAGATTTCCTTTATAGAAAAGTGTTATCATTGTAAATCGGAACAAAATTACTGGTAGATAAGTTGTCCATAGAAAAAAAAATAAACATCTTTGTCAAACCATAAGCTTCTTCACTCTACTCAGAATCTAAAATAAAAACATATCATAATAAAATCAACTCAACCCCTCAACACTCTGCGAATCTAAAAAAAATAACGTCTTCAAATCGAATTTATTTTTTTGTTCAATTTAATGACCAATAAAACAAAATAGTATAGGTATATTAAGAAACCTAAAGCAATGGCTGATATTTTGTAAAATAATATCTGATCCGATTATAACTGCAGGTAGCATAATTTGGTTAACACTTCCTTTCTTTAGAGATAGAAAATTTTTCAAGAGGGGTTATTTTTTTGGTGCCCTTAATTTAATTAGTTTTTTTTTCCCAAAACGCCAGTGTTTATCTATTTTTTAGTGAAATAAAAAAATATAGAACACTTCAAAAAGTTCAAACTTTCGTAAAAACTGAATAGTATTTTCAGTTTTTATTTCCGCATTATTTTGTAAACATAGAATATACTATAGTATTATATGTTTGGAGGGAATACTATAGGGAGTTTTTCCTCTGTTGGTCGGAATTAGAATTGGCCATCGATTGTTCCTGTCTGTCGTAAAAGGTGACTAAAAAGGAATTTGTGGTAAAGCAGCAGCAACTACAATATTGAGTGTATGTACAAGTAAATTGTAATGATAGAAACAGCTACACACCAAACAACCAGCAGATACAGAGACCATATAACTGGTGGTTATACTGTGATACAGAAGGCAACGAGAGACCACCGTATAAATCATACAAAGAATCAGCAATATATTTTCAACTCAACGTCTTCTAAAGAAAAAAATTCCGAAGGTTCATACTTTTATGGAATATTTTATGCACTAGTATACATAAAATAAAAATGAATACATTTTTCACATTGCTTCCTGAAATGTAATAATTACGATATTGGCTGATGCAAATACAAATTTTATCTCAGTGTAACAAATAAGATTACTTATTTATTTAATTGGAAAAAGGAGCAAAATTAGAAAAATAAATAGGTTCATAAAAATTTTGTTTTTTAAAAAACTTTATTTGTATAATTTTCAACTACAATAATGATTTGTATAAAAAATCAACAAACTTTCTAAAATAAATCTACTGTCTTGTTACCAGTCTAATAATATCGCAGTCTAAACAGTTTTTGATGAATTTAAAATTACAAAACAACTTCAATTATAACAGAATATATATATATATAACAAAAACCTATTGTCATAATTTATTTCATTATTTAATTTTTAACAAAAGTAACATTTAAATAAAAATATTGCTTATTAATTCCAATAATTAAATTTTTATGTACGAGATAACTGTGTTAAAATAACACAAAAATGTTATTTAATTTTATACTTAATCACTACTAGGAATTTAAAACTACATGAGCTCTGTTTTTATACCTCATGGGTAATTTAAAATTAATAACAAATATATAATACATAGTTAACATTTAATTTGTTTACATTTTAATGTTAACAATAATTGGGCTAATAAATCAGAATTTAATAACATGTTAAATATTATTAAGTAGTTTCATTTGTTCCAGTAGCTCATGTTCTCAGTTCTTTATGTATATGTTAATGTAAAATATTACAACATTTATGATGATACTAATTATTACTTCAGCTAATAAGAATAAATTGAGACTAGATAAATGGCACTACATTGTTATACATCATATATAAATTAAGATTGAAAATTAATTATTTATTTTTAATAGCCAGTAACAAAACAGAAGAACGTATTAACTAAAGAAAAACAATAAAAAATAAAAATGAGCATCAATAATGACTACTTAAGTTGTCTTACAGCAATCGATAAAACACTGAAAGCATAAGACAAACTTACTACGCGATTCGGAAATACTCAACTAGTGCATTCTTGTTGCTCTGTTGATTGCTTCACTGTATCCAATGATTCCGAACGTTTTTCTACCTCTGCTTTGAAATTCTCTAAGTCTTGTTGACTAAACAATTAATTAAAATCAAATAAATAATATTCTTACTTAATGTTTAAAAATAGATGAAGATTTATAGCCATTTTGTATTTAGTATGACAAATGAAAGGTCTGCAGAAATAATTTGCTATGAGCAAATCATACGTATAATTGTAGAAAATATATTATATTTTCTCTTGAATATTAAACTGTACATAACATGTTTTTATAAAAAAAAAAAAAAAAAAAAAAAAAAAAAAACTATTTTGCCAGCCTCTATATTTCATGTGATGATGAATATGCAGATAAGAACATTTTAAGAATTTTCAGATTCTAAAAATAGATTGAGATTGCTTCTCAACACATTCTACAAAAAAAAAAAATTGAAAGTGTTATATAGCATATTATTCCCACGTGCTTTTCATTGATGTTCATGCATTTTTTCAGTTTATCTCAATAGTATAAAATGTTATTTGAGATTAAATTAAATCATATGTATAGTTTCAAATAGCAAAATCTCAGTACCTAAATCAATAAAATTATTTTTATTTTTTAAGGCATAAAATTATAATAAAACTAACGTGTTGCAAAACATTTGTTTTTAAATAAAAATAATATTTCTAAGATAAAAAATATTAATAACATACCTAATTTGTACATACAGAATGCCATTAATGACATTGAGCATATCAAGTACACTACCCATAGATGGTGGGTGTATTTGTATAGGAGGCAAAGTAGCACCAGTTTTGCCTGTATAAATTTCATTCATTTTTTTTTGTAATACTACAGCCTGATGAGTTAGGTGTTTTAAACAGTCTGATGATTCTTGAGTTTTTTCGTGTTTTTCACCAAACTGTAAAATAAAAATATATATGTGTAAACAGAAATATTGATATTAAACAATAAACTTGTTTAAAGTACCTGCTGTTTATAAATTGCATAAGTTTCTCGTTCATTATTCAATGCTGACCGGAAATCTCCCATACAACTTTGAGTGCGGGCAACTAAATGATAACTCACTGCCACTTTTAATGATTTAGGACCATAAAATTTAATATTTAATGCTAAGGCTTTTTCTAAAAATCTCAACGAAAGATCATATTCTTGAACTGCATGTAGTATCAAACTAATATTACTCTATACAAACATATAAACTTTAATTATAATATGAAAAACAAATAATTATTGACAATGAATTTCAATATGCATACATCCAATAAAGCTATCTCTGGGTGATTTTCTCCACAAATCAAAATGGCCAAATATCGAGCTCGATATAACAACTTCAAAGCAGTAGTAATTTGATTATTTGCATAACAATACAATGCTAAATGAATCTGAAATAATATAAAAACTATAGTAGGTATACTAATGTTTTAGTTAATTAATCATAATTTATTTTAATCCTACATATTCAGTTATAGTATAAGGGTGGTCAATTCCATTAACACGTTCAGACATAAATACTGCTTTCTGTTGATATGCCATAGCTTCACCATAATCACCCAATATATAACTTAATCTAGCAAGCATTCTTAAACATTGAGCAATTTCAGGATGCATTGCACCATACACATTATTTAATAGGGTTAAAGCTTCCATAATTAAATCATATCCTTCTTTTAGAAGACCTTGTTGAATTTTTGTTTGGCCAGTAGTATAAAAATTGAATGCATCAGTAGCCTGTAATAGGGATAAATAAATTATTAATTATTAAAAAGAGAAATAATAAATTAAAATATATTCATACCCTAGGATTGATGTGCTTAACAAGAGGAAACATATTTATAATATCTTCTTCAAAAAAAGTAAATCGATTCTTTGAATCAAATGTATATTCTCTCAACAATATCTGGATTCCAGTTTTTAAACAAAATGATCTATAATAAGAAACACAAATATTCCAATAAAAACTTGCATTACAAACTTAATTCTATTGCACATTATTATTTTAAATAAAACTAAATAAGAAATGAAGTAAATTAGTCTTAGTTAAGAAAGTAAAAATATTTAAATTACTAAGCTATTATAAAAAAAGCCACTGTATGTGCTCATCATACAAGATACTGCTCATAGGTATACACTGTAATAGGGCAAGTTGAACAGGTAGAATATAAAGGGAAATTTATAACTGTATGCCAAAATTTGATTAAAAATATTTTGTAATGGCTAAGACTTAAAATGTTTATAAAAAAAAAAAAAACTACTAGGTATATAATGCCTAACTACTTGCTTTCTTTTACCACTAAATACAACTCATAATGAATTTGAGTTAAATTTTTAAGCACTGCTAGCTCGAAAAAATTGTATTCACAAAACCATAAAAAAACCCATTGTTAAAATGGCTATAAAGAAGTCAACATTTACTATCAGATAGAAAAAAAAATTAAACCTACAAGATTTCAAATAAATATTATATACTATATACCTTAACAATGATATTTTTTGAATAACATAATGTTCACAAATAGATTCAATAGTTTCGGACACCAATTCCCATGCATAATACGATTTAATTTCTGCTCGGATTTGAGACCATAAAGTATTCCGAGTAAGATTAGCCCATTCTTTATTGTCAACAGTAAGTAATCTATTTAGTCGACCTTTACGTTTGTTGCGTTTTTTAATTGGTTTTATATCATCTAATAATGTATTCTGAGGATGTGGAGTTGAACAAGATGATAAAAAACAATTTAAAAAATGACCAACAGCACTTGCTAGACTCATTAACTCGGCAGACTGAAAATACAGACCATAGTTTAAATTTTATAAAAATAATTTAATTATTTTACTATTCTTACTTGTATATAAGTATTAAATATATGCTTTGCTGCTCTAGTTATTAACTCTGCAACAGTTATACTGTACAAGTATTCTAACCGTTTGATTTTTGAAAGTTTTTCAGCTATTTTTCCTAAATAACGAATATTTATACCTCTTGTGTGTAAATTTTCAGATAATATTTGTCCATCCATAGGAGCAGAGGAATGATCCATACAATCTCTAATCTACAAAAAAATTAATTTTTTGTTACTAAATTTGCATTTTTTATGAGTCTATTTTTTAAACAAATATGCTTCAGACAAAAACATTTCATTGATCATTAAAGTATCATTATCATTTTATGGGGTTTTCCCTGTACAAGAAATTTAGACACAGAAACTATCTGAAACAATTTGACTTTTTAACAATTTTGTTGATAGAAGTTTTGTCCAAGACATGATCACTTGATTAGGTGAGTATATGGTACTTAAATAAAAGTTTAACATACAAACAGTGGAATTTGTGATAACAGCAAATATTCAGCTGCATCTACAACTAATTGTTTCTCTAATTTAAACTGATCTGATTCAGAGTTAAAATGTTTTACTCCTGGAGAAAACACATCTGGATTGAATCTTATATCAAATTCAGTCTCTTTCAGGGAACCAACTTTTTGAGCAGCTTTTTTAACAACTTCTTTAGTACTATTATCGTCACCTATTAATAAAATGATAATAATGTAACTATATTTATTATACACATAAATATAGATAATACAAAAATTAACACATACTATCTTTAACAACACTTTCAGTAATTGTTTCCACAATCTTCTTTTTAGTCTCTAATGAATCTTCTGAGGTTTTTTCATTATCTTTGTTTTCACTTTCTTTAATATTAGATATTTCTACTCCATTTTTACTCTCCTCTTCAACAGTTTGATTTATTTTCTCTTTAATCTATAATTATATCCAATCCAATAAATAATTATAAATAAAGCCATTAAGTAATATTAAACATACAGTTATACTATTATTGTCATTAACACCTTCTGTATTTTTTTGATTTTTCCATAAGTTCAAATGTTGTAAATGGAATGCTGCATATTTAATAAACATCATATAACGTGTCCTATAAGAATTATAATTTTATTTATATTGCATATTAAGTTTATCTAAAATTAGATTTATAATTGTTTATTATAAACAAAAAATTACTCAATAAATGAATCGATTAATTCTTGTCTAAGACAACATAATTTATGTCTATGCTGAATAGGAAATCCTAATGATTTTACTTCTTTACTTAATATATCTTCATCAACTATAATAAATAATTTAGTATTAAATAAATAGGTTAAACTAAAATTGGATTCAATTACAACTTACGTAAAAGGAAATTGACATCTGGAGGAAAAGTACGTAGTAAATCCAATATATAATAACGACTGTCATTTCCAATGATGCCTTTACATTCTACAGATGAACAGAGTTCAACTTCAACGCTTTTTTCACTGATTACTTTATGAGGCATTATTTTTAATTGCTGTGCTGCTTGACTAAGCTATAATACATTTAAATTAATAAATAAATATCAGAATGGTTTAATGTTAAATTAATATAAATATGTACATAGTAAAATTAATGATTACATACTAATTCAATATATTTTGGATTGGTAGTCACAGTTTTGCCAAAGTCTACTGATCCATACACTACAGACTGTTCTTGTTCTCTTTCTAATATACCTGGGATAATAGATTGAGCTGTAACTCTATAGCCTCTATAATCAATCACTACGGTCCCTAATGTATATAATCCAGGTAAATCAACTGCACTATAAACTCGAACTCCTTGTAAATCATTTCGCTAAAAAAAATTATAATAATTTAATAAAAATCAATCAACTATTGGAAACTTAAATACTAGTTTAAATACTAAATAAAAAATATTAATTTAATAATTACAGGAGCAACAAAAGCAGCAGCATCTCCCCCTAATTCTTTATAATGATCTCTAACATCAAATCCGAGGGAAAAAAATATATTATTCCATATAAACATTTGCATTTTGGCTTCTTCACCAGGATTAATAGCCATTACATTACCATCAATAACTGCCATAGCACCCCGAGTAGCAGCTGCTACAAAATCACCATGCACCTATACAAAATAGAATTAGTATTGATATAATAAATTAATGTGGTTTAGACAAACTTTGAAAATAGCTCTTTCTCTTAATAAACGCTCAGGCAAATTTTTACGAGGCAATTCTCTAGTAGTTTGTAATTCTTCATTCCAATCTCGTGTTTGACCAGGTATATGTTCTTCATAACCAAGTTTTGATGAAAAAGCTAAATATTAAAATATTAACTTTTATATATTCAGATTATTTAGTTTTAATTTTTTTAATTTTATATCAATTTGTTTTTTTTACAAATAAAATACATAAAAATTAAAATTAAATGTTCTAAAATAATACAGACTATCTTCAGCTCTGATGGCGTCTAATGTGTGTTCAAGTAATGGAGAAGACCAACTATATATTTGATATGGTGTTGCAACACGTTCAAATGGATGACGAGCAGTTCTCTTTTTTTGTAATACTGCAAAGTTTCGTTTGAATGCAGCACTTACTTGACATAGTAGTTCTATTAAAGAGTGACATAAATGATTTGGTGTAGCAGGTTTAGGATTGAATTCTTCATTAGTGGACCTAATTATGTAATACAAATTATAAACCAAAAATATGTCAATTATATGTATATATATGTGGGTTTTGATAAAATCTTTGGTTTATAATTAAAACAAGTCGCAACTGCTGTGTTACAGCACAAAAAGCTAATACGTCTTTATGAGATTTGACAGATGAATGGAAATTGTAGTTTTTTTTTCTAAATTATTAACTAATATCACTTAACTACTTCCAATATATTACTATCATCTTTTAATACAAATTAAGTTATAAGTGTTCAAAATGTAATTTGATTTAATTATGTTCTATAATATGTAAACTAATTCAAGTTTATTTTATTAATTTCTATAAATAATAATATTGGTGATAATGTGTACTACTAAAATGTATTAAACAATTTGATGTCATAAGATTTTAAAAAAAATGGTTGGAAACCTCTATATTAGACAATGATTATCTTCGTACTTTTATATTCACTTAATTGTATCAAAGTTAGCATTCATTAGAAATTAATAAATTAGTTAATTAAATTATTTATTAATTATTATTTATTTATTATTTACTAAGCATAGGTCTTATTGTTTTTAAATGCATTTATTTTTATTTTCAAATCCCTCATACACATAGATAAAATATTGTAATATTTAATTTAAATTGATTACTGATTAATGAAAAATCCTTTGGTGCAAGCAGTTATATGAAAATGTTTGTCTTCCAGTGTAATGACATACATATACATTAAATCACCATGCATTTTCCGAAAACCAGGTGGAGGATTCCACGCGGAAGTAGTAAGCACCTATTACAAATAATATATTTGAATGATTGCATCAATGTAATATTTATATAAATATTGTAAAGCTGTGACAAAGTTGAATATTTTTTTTTGAAACATGATATTAACATTACTAAGATATTAAATATGATAGTTTACTACCTTGATACATTGAGGTCCTTTTAAATCTTTAGATGTTGGATGCAAAGGAAGTAACGGCCTATCTTTATTATTTGGCATTATATAGTCTGGAGGAGTACAGTCAACACTTTCAGACCTGGTTTTCTTCTTTTCTAATTATGAAAAAAAAAATTGTTTATACTACTATAATTTGGATAGTTAAAATGCATACCTAATATATCACCTTGAGTAACAACATTCAAAAATGATAATGAATTACAATCAACACCATTGTAAGCATCTGCCATTTCTAACGATTTTAATATATCTCTAACATGGCGAACATGAATTCTAGCTTCGCGCATAGTATACGGCTCTTCAACAACCTTTATTTAAACAATATTTTTATGAAATCACTATATCTTGCTACACATATTCACAGTTGACAATGGAATATACAAATTGTAATAGATAAGTAAAAAATAATAATAATAAGTTATATAGGTATTATGCATAACAGAAAATTGATCAAATACATCATTAAATTGAGTGACTAATCTATACTTTACTTGCATATATTTTAAATAATATGGTCAATAGTTTTAATATTTATAAATTGTCATTAATAAAGTTTGTGGTGTTTCCATTTAAAACATAAATCAGTAAGAAATTTAAAATTTGCATATACTTATAACAATAATGTCCATAGATATGGTCACTAATCAATTATATAATGTTATAAATGTATAATAATTATATTCTCGATTCTATTTTAAACATTAAAAATACACTTTTTAAGAATCAAATAGGAGCTATTGGTTTTATAATGCTGTTTATGTTTTGTTTTTTTGTTCTAGCCTGTGGATACATATTTTCTTAGTAAACTTGCTCTGATTTTTACATGTGGCAACTTTTCTAAAAGCTCAAATTGTCTAGATTGTTGTCATTTTTTGATTTTCAACACCATTTTTTAAATAGAAGAACTTAAATGGGAAAAACCATAACTGGGTTACCTAACTTACTATTAATAATTATACATTACACTACAACGTACTTTTATAATTGATCCTTCCTTAAGTCCATCAATAGTTTTCAGTTCTGAGAAATTGTCCAATGTCACTCCATTCAGTTGCAACGAAAAACAGGTACGGTGACAAGTGTCTTCTCGATCCATAAGCAATTGATGAATTTCTTGAACTAATTCCATGCTTGAAACCTACATAAAATAATTGAATAATAATAATACAATTATCTAATTTAAATATTTTTATTTTATTTACTTACCTGAATTTCAAAAGCTTCAGTTCCAGGACAGACTATTTTGACATTAAATCCAAGATCTTGTATGAATATTATCTCAGTATCTTGTTTTTTTTCACTATCTGTATTTTCCTCAGAACTATCATCACTGGGAGAGACTTCATTAATTTTTAAATCCTTATCAGTTTTATCTTTCTTGCTATTTTTCTTTAATTGCTTTTTTCCAATTTTTTGGGATTCATTATTATTAACAACATCTACGTTATTAACAGAAGTAGTATCTTTTTTATCCACTTCTGGAATATCAATTCCATTTATAGTATGGTCTCCGCTTGCTAAATTCTCATTATTACAAACCAGTTCAACATTTCCTACAATACACAATTTAGATTTTGAATTAATATATTATATTAAGTTACTTAACTTATAGTTACGAGTTATAAATTAACAGAGGACTAAACGAGATTAAAGTATCTCTTTTAAAATGAAAGTAACCAATTGATAAAATTATAATTATTAGGTACCTGGAAAATATGCAATAAGCAATTGTAAATTGATTTGGTCATACCCCCACTTGTAAAATAACTGTAAAAATAGCCATCTATATTTTTTAAATAAGTATCTAAATATTTACATTGTAAACATTAATTTTAAAGTTTAATTTATAACTAGGTGGGTGTGTCTAAATTTTGTAATTACATTTTTTTTTTCAATTAAAATTAGATCATATATTTTTCAGAATAACAATTAGGTACAAAATTCAATAAGTCTACTATAAATAAGTATAGTTGAATAATTTTTAATATGATGTTTATTAAGTAATTAAAGAATTGCCTACTTATAGGTACCTATATACATAATGGTACCTACCTAAACATAAATGAAAGATAGGTTATCAATATATATATAAGTTATAAAATTATTATCTTTTGGATAAAATAGTTTTAATGTTTAAACACATTAAATCACTGTCATACAATTGTTTTAAAAATAATAGTTAAAGGATAAACAGATAAAAACTAACAGAAAACTAAACAATTTGTATGTCCACCAAAAAAAAAAAGGAAAAACCATACCTATTAAAAATAAATAGGTACCTACCAATTTTCCATTTTAGTATAAAAAAAAAAAAACAATGTATACCTTACACAATTTAAAATTAATTTTACCAAAACATCAAAAAAAAATAAAAAATACTGTGGACATAATTCGACCTTAAACAATTGTTATTCTAAGTAGATAATTATATATACATGTATTATACACTATAAGATACTATTCTACAAAAAGTTAAATAAATAATTATTTTAATTAAATATTTATTTTTTTATTTAATACCAATGAAATGAAAATATTCTTACCATTTAATTGCTGATCGTTTGAATTAGTTAAATTTCCCTCCTTGACTTCTAGTGTCATTGCAAATCAATGGCTCCTGATTTTCTCTTTAAATTAAAATTTACACAGCCGGGAAAATATACCCAGCTCTAATAACTCATAACAAACTCACCAGGGTTATAAAATAAGTAATAAGATCAAATAAAACCAAAACAAAAATATAATAACATAAGTAAAAATGTATAATTTTTAAAACGTGACTACAAAAATTAAAAACATCGTGATGGGATTTTAGACGAAGAAATGGTAGACAAAATAATTATAGTAGTGGAGAGGGGAAATGGTAACTTTTAACCGGACCAGTGTAGCCAAACATGTGGATATATTTTTATATTTTATATGATTTTGCTCATTTTATCAAAACATTATCATATATTCACATATGATTATATGATAATACATATTTTTAGTCTAAGTTTTGATCTGAAAATTTCAATTTCGATATCCATCATTGACTTTTTAACAATAAGATCGATTTAAAAGCCTATAAAATGAAAACAAAAATAGTGAGTTTCTTGAAAATGACAAGAACCGTTCGACAACCGTCTGTACGTATGGCCACCACAACATCTACTGGAGCATTATTACCTGAACCGCATAGAATCTCTTTTGGCCTTTTGGGTATTATTTGCACAGTTGTACCTGGTTTATTAATTGGAGCTATCATAAGTAAATATATGGCCAATTTTCTGGAAGAAAATGAGTTATTTGTTCCGTCAGATGATGACGATGATGATGATTAATAATAGATTAGGTTATGTAGTTAATATTTTTATCATATATTTGTTTTTGAATTTTTATTTATTGCTTATTCTCTTGTTAAAAAAAAAAAATATTTTATCTATAAACCTACTTCGGTATTAATATTTTTTAATATACCTATATAAATAATATACTATATTTAGTTAAATTTTCTTTATTACCACATTATACCTAGTCATTTATTATTTTATAAATAATAACATTTTCTAAGTATCACTATATAATATTTTGAATTGTATTATTTAGTTTTTAATTATTATTAATACTTAATAAAATTTGAGTAAAGAAATAAAATGAGTTTTTAACAAATAACAATATCAACTATTCAAATTTAGATATAAGTAGCTTTAATTATTTTAATGAATTATATAAATAATATCTTTTTAGTTATTAAATAATACCTCCTAATTTCATAATAGTTCATATTATTAATATTGTTCTAATTTTTAAAATATTATGTTCATATTTTAAACAATTTAGACAAGTTTAAGCTTCTATCAATGTACAAGCCTTACTGTTTTTGTATATTATTAAATAAATATATTAACTAATTAGCAAAATATTTATTAGATTGCATAAACACAATAAAATAAATTTCCTAATTATTTTTTATCTACCTAAGGGCCATTCTTACAATGTCCTGGAGAGTATTTATTAGTACTAAATGATATTGTAAGAACGATCTAAAGGTTATCGAAACTTGAGGTTCTCGAACTTTTTTTTTCACTTACCACTAATATGTACCTATTATAAATCTGTCATGTACCTTCCACTTATGACTAAAAATTAAACTATTTGTAATATCTCTATGTGTATTTCAAAATTATAAGAGCATAAGACAGTAAATTACTAAAATGTAGGTCATTTACATTATAAAAATTAAAAATATAAAATAGGATTATATGTATTAAAAACATTTGTACAAATATGAATTAATTAATTTTCGAAACTCGGCTACCACATACTACCAGTGGTACGCATACTATAGTTTGAAAACCGCTGTTCTAAACCAATGTTATATGGAGAAAAAATTTGTTTGAAACAATGACAAAACTTTTTTCACCTTTACAAAACCTACATTATCAGCGATTACAAGGGCTGAATTTTATTTTTCAAAAAAAATTAGAGATGCACAAGTACAGATATTGCAATAATGAAACCGGTAGTATTAAATAATGTACTACATGTTTATTATAGTACTTATCATGACCCACAAACAATATGTATTGTAATAATCAATAAGAGTATATTTATCATTACTGTTATTGTTAATTGTTATCACAATGTATTATTACCTATTATTATTGAATCCCGAAAAAAAAAGAATAATATTAAAATTTTGAATATAATAATTTATCATTACATAAAAAAAAAAAATATATTATAACACTAAAACACTTTGACACTAGTAACTTTTGACAGACTAAATTTAGTTCACTCAAATAATAGCATTAAAGTATGCAAATGTCTAAATAGGTAATTTCAATGAATGAATGAAATGAAAGTATATTGTAACCACTGATTATTTTAAACAGTAATAATTTTTTTTCACCTAATTTTTTTACAATTAAAAAACTAACATTTTTCACAAAAAATATATTTTTTTAAATTATATTCAATAATAATGTTTTTAGTTTTTATAATCTATTTTTTCCCGTTGTTATTTTTTTCGTGTTCTTTTTTTCCTTAGACTTTTTTACTGATTACCATTATTATTCTTTCATATTTCTATACTTAATTATAAAAAAAAAAGAACGGCGAAGCCTCGACTGAAAAGCTATGTCTATATATATATTACATAGGTATAAAATAACATGTTCTGGCTGACTGACTAACCAATCCATCTTCACATAGCCACCTAATAAAGCAATATTCTTGGTAGAAAACCAAAAGCATTAAAATTAAAAATAATTAAATCGTAACGCCATTAAATTGTCAGTTTTCATTTTGCACTATTTTTTTCAATTATTAAAAGAAATACCTGGAAAACCAAAAGACAGTTTTCTTCGTAGCATCTAGATTCAAAATGTAACAAAAACATTTTTTAGTAAAAAGTAATATTAAAACAATATTCCTGGTAGAAAACATAGTTTGTAAAAATTAAAAACGAAAAAAGGTGACGCCGCCGACACACTAAATATTTCCCATTTTCCCCAACTATAATAAACCCCTTAGAAAATCAAAAAATGACCTCCCGAATACACACCAACCAGATAAAATTTCTTTACAGAAATGGTGCTAGGTACGATCGATAATCTGAGTAAGATTTCACAGTTTTCTTTCAGAAAATATGCTATTCTTGAAATTTAGACAAATATTTTTCTACTAAAAATATAATCTAAAACACTTTAAATAGGTGCCTAATTGTTGCGCTGTAATTTGAGCAAAAAAAAACCGTGTTAATGAGTTTTTTCCAATTATTATAAATACAATTTTAGATATCAAAAAAATGACTTTCTTTGCAAGTAGCTATATATTAAAGAACAAAATCGATCTCTAGTCATTTTTTGATTCGAACAATAAATTTTTTCGACGATCATTTTTTTCCGATTTTATCAAATTATTTTGAAAACCCTTATAAAATCAAAAAAATGTTATTTATACACCAACTAGAGAAAATTTTCTTTCAGAAAAAAATGCTACCTACACTATACATTAAAGCAAGTTTTCTAGTAAAATAATTGTTCACAAGCAGAAAAAAGTAAATAAAAAAATATATATCATAGTAAAACCACTAGATCCTTAGCTACACTCAGAAATCTAAAAGGATAATGATCGCCTGTTACAATCAGAATGTTCAGATGATTCTTACCTAGGAACCGAGTTATTAATCACCTGACACAATTGTATTTAACATTTGAAGTAGGAATCAATTTATTAAGAAAATTGAACAAACAAGTGAATTATCTTAACTTTATATTTATTTTTAGTTAATAATTTATAATTAATTACTAACTACACCAAGAACAAATATTATTATGCTGATACTATGAAGTACAGCCAAGTAAAAATTCTGCCGCATTTTTTGGATATCCAGGTTCAGTTTTATTAAGATTATGATTAAACTTCCAATACTGATTTTCACTAAAGAAATATGTATCTCCTAGAAAAAAAAATCGTTAAATATATACAATAAAATATATATAAAGGTTAATTTGAAAAGTCGATCAATTTAATAGTTATCAAGATTGATAAATAATTGTTAGGACAATAAATTGAACTATAATAGAAATTAATCTTATTCTATTCAACTTAATTCATGAATCATGAATTTATTTTTGCTTAAACTGTATGATATAAAACATGATTTATTAACTAAATTGATTCGTCTAAATATTCCCTTTTAAAACTTACATATTTTTTATTGTACCAATATAATATACTATGTCTATGGAAATAATAATGTATATGAACCTATAAAAAAAATGTATAAATATATACCTAATCAATGGTAATGAAATGCATTGAAATCTGGAGGGATAATATATTAGCTGAAAATATTATAAGTTATAAGTTATAATATTTTCAGCTAATATATTATAATTTATAAGTGACAAATATTTTAACCAACAGTGTTTTGGTAGACATATTTTTATCAGGTAGTCGATATCATATGTAAAAACTAAAAAACATTCAAAACGTGTACAATTTTATTCATTACAGTCTGCTAAAATAAAGTTCAATCAGAATATTATTCACTCATCTATTCTTTCTTTTGTATCTCGTATTACTTATCATCCTTCTGTTTTTCCACCAAGGTTGACTCCTGAGCTTAAGGAACTCATTTTTGCTAAAAAATGTCTCACTCCATATTCTTCTGGCTTTTTATCCAATTAGGTATCGAACATTTTTATGGAAACCCACTTGGCGAGCATTCAAATTGCTTAGTTTCTAAATAATGAATCTAATATTTTAAACAACAAACTATAATTCCATATACAATTTTAAAAAAAATCAAATAATCTAGTATGTTATGCTTATTTGTCTGAAATTAATAAATATATGAGGTAGATATCTCAATTTGTAAACCATTGTTAAACAATTGTTAAATAGTTGACAGGACATTTTTAAAATTTTTAAGTAGGTTAATACTACTTACATTTTAGTACCCTATTTATAATATCGGCTAGTATTAATTTATATTCAATATTTAAATTAATAATAATAATCTTACAAATAGTATATAACTCCTAGTAAACAAAAACAACATCCGGACACAACAGGGATATACAATGTTTTAAACTTATGTATAGAAACATAAAACAAAAATAATTTATATAAATTTACCAGATTTCCATGTGAGGACAGCATCTATTGGCGTTTTTATTCCTTTAAAGTGTTCTTTTATTAATCTATGGTTCTGTAGCAATATTTTTTTTTGATCATCATAAATCCAAAAATATTCTCCACTTACAAATATAATAAAGGCATTTGTCAAATACAATATGTTTATTAAAACAATGTTACAAAATATTTTTGAAATATCATAATATATGTCAAACTATACAGTAGAATTTGTTGTCTATATTACTATTATTAGGTACCTACTTAGTTTTTTCTATGTAAACATTTAATTATTAATTATAATAATATTAATAGATTCGCCAGTTTTTCTTTTTATAAACTTCAAAAAATGTTAGATACTTAACGATTCATCATTTAGTTAATATTTATAGTACCAAAATTGTGTTTCAAATTATGTTTATAAAATGTCTATCAGGGATTTTGTAAAAACAATGTTTTAAAAAATTTAAATTTGTTATTTTTAGTTTTTAAAAATAGGCAAGCCTTAGCACCAAATCATAGCACAAGTCTTATTGATTAATAGTACCTACCTATACATAATTAACAAATTCTACTGTGATAGCTTCTTAATTAAGTTCCTAATTTATTTCTCCTTGGTAACATACCTAAACAAATATGTTAATGGTGGTCCTCCAAAAACCATAACTGCATCAACTCTAACCAAAAAAGGTGGAAATCCATAGTCCATAATAGATTTTGGACTATTTTCTATTAAATGGTTTCCATTAAAAACATAATAATTTTTACCTATAATTAAAAAAAAAAAGGAAGATACATATTTCAGACCTTGGAAATATATTTTTAGTGAGTCACAAGTCAATATTTTGCAATTATGTATGAATTTAGTTTTATAGAATAGCATCTATATATATAATGTGTATGTATAACATTTAATTGATACCTCTGTTTTCTACTCATTAAAAATATACATCCGGTATACAAATTTAGATCCATTACATGTAGTATTCTGATATCTAAATAGTTCATGATTTATAATAGTTATAATTTCATAATACATATTTCTTATATAGGTAGGTAATAAATGGTTTTACAAAATGCTACATATATGATTTTAAAAACCTGCTTAACCTTGAAAGTTCTACTATTTCAATTTTAAAAGAATTAACAATACATACATAAAATTTTGTTGCCATAAAGAAAAAAAAATATTGACTATTGTTTCTCAGATTTTTTTAATTTTGAATTATATTATATGATCTTTACCGCTAAACATAACAATGTTAGAATCTGGTCTTTCATACGCTGCATCAATTTTGACAATATTATGATCATTATTAGCTAGTACTTGAAAGAACTTTAATAGTTGAACTGGGTAACGTTGGAGTATTGATCCTGGTTTATTCAATCTCCATAAAAGCTTAAAATTTGATGAATAAATCAAAATGATACTTTAGTTATTATTTATTAATATAATTTTTTTTCTAACTGTTAAAAATCCTTCAAAAAGGAATTTATACAAATTAAACTGCATAGATATTAGTATAATTAAAAGTGTACCTACCTGTATAATAGAATATAATAATTATCTAGTACAATAATTGTGATCATGAATGAAAATTAGCAAATATTTGATAAAAGCGAATCACCAAAACATTTGATTGACTATTGAAAAATTGATTGAAGATAAAATTTGCTTAGTTTTCAAACATAAAATAGAGTAGGTACCTAATACATGTGCCTTGTTTCAAACATAAGGGATCACCACTGTTTTTGCAAATATCTGGTGTGAATTAACAAAAATCTGTTGTCTGAATATTTAGTATTAACAGGGCTATAGGAAGAGGAGCGGTGCCTACGTCCAGAGTGCAATGTGGAAGTGCAAAAATACCCTAAAACCTATAAATATTAATAAATAAATTTAATTAATTAATAAACAACAAATTTAGAATGCATGAAATTGAATAGTGAACTATGAGATAACTGGAACACTTATTTGACTGTAGTTTGTAAAAATCGTTCAGCCTTGAGTTTGCATTATAAATTAAAGAACATAGGGCGCAATTAAACGCTAAACTTAAGGCACATTGTTTGGTTGCTACATTTGTAGATATAGAAAAATGTTCGATGGGTAATGATTAAAAATTTGTATGAGTATTGAAATATTTAGCTAGTGAATATTAAAATTATAAAATGCGTGTAAGTCTGTTCTTAGTTTCATCATGATTGGACAAGTATCTATAGCTTCTGTTACGGCTGTTTTACCAAAAATACGTACTTAACTCAGCAAATCAGCATATTAGAGTATACATACGTACAGTATCGTGTAGAAGTACTGTGTACTGTGTAGATGTTAAAACTGTTAAATATAAATGTACCAAACTACCCATAATATTTGTTCTAAATAAAGTAATTTGAAATTTTTATAGGTAAGTGTAGGTATATAAACTTACATTTTTTTTGAACACAAAAATTTCTCCACGGAAACACGAAACAGCATCAAAGTTTCCTTTACATTCATCTGTATTATCATTTTTTTTAGGAGTTGCAATTTCAGGTTTAAAAGTAGTAAAAGGCTCTGGTGTTACAGTATCATAATCTGTACATGTTTCATGGCTGAACGATGACCAATGTACATGTGGATGTGATTTCCCTGGTGTAATAGGTGGTAGTTGAATTGGTGGTGTGAAAGATACATAATCTTCAGGCAATGATCTAGCAACTGAAATGTGTAGGATATTATTTATTAGGTATTACAAAATTTAAAACACATTAATACATTAATTGTATAACTTATAATATGCAGCCTAGGTAAGTATATGGTACCTATATGAAAATTCCAATCCTAAACCTATATTTTAATATTAAATGAATATTTAATTCATGAAGTTATAATTAGATTTGAAAGACATTGGCAATTATAAAATTATAATTTAAAATGCCCGAACTTGAATTGGATCAATAATCCTCAGTCAAACATTTAAATATAGGTAGGTATTAAAGATTATTGATTAAATATGTCAAATCTGATTATCATTCACAAAATATGAAATACTTATAGATTGATGTAAAATATATTTGAATAAAGTTAGATCAACACAGTCTTCAAAGTGAAATGTATACCTACTTAGTACCTACTGGCTACTATTAATATTTTAGTTTTACCAGTAACACAATGTTGTGTTATTATCTATGTATTATGTACATGAGAGAATATTGTTAGAAAAATAGCTATGAGAATAGGGCACTTTATTACACACTGAACACATTACTTAGGTACTTATTTGTACACTAAGTAATTAATTCTTATTAGTTGTTACTCGTATGACCATTGACCATATGACTGAAATGAAGAATAAAATATATTAATATGCAATCATATTCATAATCTATGCTCTTATAGGTATTGGGTAATTATTAATATTATTATTATTTCACTCTTATAATACAATTTCTCTGCATATATATTAATTAATAAGTATCATACCTATCACATTCATAAAAAAAATTGTTAACCTACTTAAATACCTACTATCTATTTATAATATCAACTAAAACCTACTAAATACCTACCCACTAATTATGCTACTAACACTCGATTATCTAGAATTATGAACTTTGTAAATTATATATTTATAATTGATCCTTTCTGTTCAACTACATATAATTTTTTTAAAACCCATATCTCTATTAATCTAGTTTTTATTAAATTGATATACCTTTATTTATATTATTATATTTTGTTTTGTATAGTATAAATAAATTTGATTTTTACCAATGCCTATGCTCACAAATGTTAATTATTATGTAATAATTTTATGCATGTATTTGAGTCCTAACTTATATAAATTTTGAAAACTCAAAATTCAAGAGTTTTCTGAGAAAAAATTTCACAACATTGCACCAATTAGACATAAGTAGGTACGTAGTGCATAGGTATGCAAGGGGTTTTTTTATTTTTTCGTGTAATTTTCTTTATAACTCAGAAATACAGGGAAATGATGAAAAAAACAGAAAAGTTAATGTAAATAACGTTTTCATTATTTCAAAATTTTGTTTTTTATTGTAAATACAACTTGGTTAAAAATATTCGTAAAAACTGAAAGTTCCACAAAATACTTATATTGGACATTTTTAAAAATGCTAAAATTTTCAAAAGATTCCGTTGATTTTTGAACTATTTACTAATAGACACTTGACATTTTCAAATTTGTTTTAGATTTTATTTTTTGGTATTATGTGGATAAAATTGATTGATAAAATAGAACGAGGTTCATTATAAATTGTACTTAATGGTACAAAAAATATTGGGTGCAATGTGGTAGTTTTTTTATAAGTATTTAAAGATCAAATTTTTACTAAAAGCGTCATTTCAAAATGTGAAATACTACCGAACTTCACTCAGAATCATTTTTCGTCAATAATGATTTATCGCCGTTGTGTACAGATATAAATTAAATAACTTCCTTCCCAACTTCTCACCTACAATAGTGGCACACCCATCAGCATAAAAAAAAACTTACTATATACTGAACGCATTCCTGATATATCGTCATATCCAATATCTTGAAGTTGTGGACCTTTATAATAAGGATTCATTATAGAATCAGGTGCAGTTGAATGTCTTAGCCCTAGACTATGGCCCATTTCATGAAGAACCACAGAATAGAAATCAACCCCTTTAATAAAGAAAAATATATATATATTTTTTTAAATATTTTACATTATTTTTTTATTATTAGAATACATAACCAAATATAAATATCTACCATTGTTGGTGGAGTTATCTAATGTCCAATCTTCACTGTCATCAAAATGTATATCACCACCTAAAGGTCCTAATTCTCCAGGATAAAATGCATGAGCAAGGGTATTACCTGGACCATCAAACGGAAATCTAAAAAATAATTAAAATATTTTAAAATTCTAAAAAGAGCGAGCAATATTAATTGTATTATTTCCAATACCCAATTTAGTGTTATTTTGGGTTTTATTATATTTTTTATTTATACAGAACTGTTATTTATTGTATCATTTATAATATGTAGTACTAGGTATATTTTATTTGCTTTTAAGTATTATATAAAAATAAAACTATTACCTACTAACATATTGTATACTGAACTTACTGGTCCCCGTGATCTGCAACACCAAATGAAATTACAATATCTGCAAAATTTTCATTATTTACTTCTAAAAATTTCAGTTGACTAAAACGACTCCATTTTGAAAGTGCTTTTTGAATTTCATTCCTTATACTTTCATGTGGTAATTTCGGAGTGAAATTGAATATACTAAATTAAATATAAATATATTTTCGTATTATAAAAAGACGGACATGCTTCTTGGGATGGGTGGGCCACTGTTGTAGCTGGTGAGAAGTTGGAAAAGTAGATAAAGGGGAAATTTATTCCATATTTGTACGCAACGATTAACCATTGCTAACGAAAAACGATTCTGAGCGGGGTTTGGTTAATAGAGTTACTTTATCAACAATATTCATGTCATATTATGATAAAAGAATTACATATGCATTATATATTTTCTTTAATAATATTTTTACTAAAACGATTTTCATCAAACTTTGATATTCAAATTCTTATACAAAAATTCTACATTACACAATTTTTTTTTTTTTATCATAAAGTAAGACTTACGATGAACCTCCAGTTAAATAGTTTAGCATTTCTGTTTGGTCTAACAATTTTATCCACAGAGTACCTACCTACCGAACAAAAATTAAGTGAAAAAACCCAATAAAATTAAAATGTCTATAAAAACTCAAAAATGGCTACGTTTTAAAAATTTTACCACGTCTAGATAAGGCAAATATACATTTTCTGTTCAAAATTCAAGTTTCTATATATATTTTTGAAATAATTCTAGTTTAGCTCCCACCCGATTTTTTTGGTATTTTTTTCGGACAATTTTAATCGAAAATAACCCTAGAATGTGACCACATGGGGTTTGTAAATCCACCTATAATGCTTTTCACTTTTCCTTGTTTCCTACCCGACGTGATTTGCACAACAAATCGAGGGTTATTTTCGATTAAAATCATCGGAATGAGCGCAGCGAAACAGCGTTTAAACGTTTGTAACTCTAAAATTAAGCCAGATAAATTTATTCCGACTTCTGAAAAATTTTCCCGTTTTTCCCATTTATTATGAAAATAGCTGGAAAATTTAAAAAATGACCTTTCTTAGCTAAAGTACCACTCTAATCAGATTTCCTTTCTGAAATAATGCTACACTTGAAAATCGGAGCAAAATTTACTAGGTAGGTATTTAGTATTTTGGCACTAGACATAGGTAAGTTATAATACTATTATAGGTATTATAATATGTTAAACTTAAGAGGACGCTGCACATGCATTGGTTGTGTCCGTCATATAAACGCACGATCTAGTTAAAACATGTTTATTGCTTGCGCAAACAGAATCAAGACCGTACCGGGGGGGAGTAAAGGTTCACCCCCCACCCCGAAAAATTTAAAGTAGGTATATATTTATAAATATAACAAAGACTAACTAAAAGTTCATGTATTAAAAACATTTTTACCTCCCCTCTGAAAATTGATCCTGAATATGTACTTGCACAGAACTCGCTTAGTTTTGACTTTAGAGTAAAAACATCTATACCTACCTGTTATAAAATGAAAAGAGAACAATATTCCGGAGCACAAGACTGAGGTTTTTTCTATTTTCATCAGATATAACATTATAACAGTCAATTAACCGTTTATAAATAACAAATGTTTTAATTCAATACTTTATGAAAAAAAAAATATTTGAAAAAAAACGGAACGTTTTGCCTTCTGTATTATTGTTCTCAATTAATTTCATTATAGGTTCTGTTACTCCAACAACAAAAATAAGCATTTTATGTAGTTTGTTTAAATATCTTTTTATTATTTCGTGTGTTTGTAAAACGGAAACAATAAATGCACGAGAACGATCTTATAATATCTGTGATTGACTTCAAGTAGGTACTTACTAATAAGTAAGAGATCGTTTATTCCAAACATTCGAAGATACCACGTATCTTTTATTTTTGTTACCATTTAGTTTTAGAGGTATATCTGGTACACCACATCTTTTTGAATTTATTAACTAAACAAATTTAATAATATATTATATATATAATATATATAATAGTTTATGTAGGTACTCACTGTACAGGATGATCAACATATCGTAAAACACTCATTATCTCAGAAAGTAGGTATTAACTTTTATCGGAGTTTGTTTTATACTTAGATCATTTCAACATCAAAATTTATTTTAACTAATACTTTATAATATGATAATATATATATTTTATTTATAGAATTATTAATATAAGTTGCCATTTGAAATTCTATAGTAGGTAGTTATTGATTTTACCCCTAAAAATAAAGGTGACAAAAAATAACATAAATGTAAAATTGTAGAATTGTGTGTTTCTTAAATGCTGTATAAAACAAATTCATAAAAAAATTAATACTTTCCGAGATAGTGTGTCTAATCTTTGTTACTGACAAAATTTATTTGAATCATCTTTTATAATTGTGTTCGATGACAAAATTAAATAGAAAAAAAAATTAAAAACTTAATGAGCTAATAAAATAAAACAAAGTTTAAACTTTAACACTTGAATATCCAGTATTTTAAATGAATTTAAGTCTAGTTTTATATTTAAACATTTTAACTTGTAGTGGATATACCTACCTACCTACATATTTAAATTATGATTTTATAATACCTACCTAAATGATAATGATAAAATATTACATAGGTATAGGCATTTAACTTACAAACCTTTAATGTATCATTATCAAATACTCCTGTTTCTTCTAATCCGCCAAACTTTTGAACTGATTTTAAAGCTGCAACCAATGTATCTCCTGCAATTAAAGCTTGAGGGCCTGCATTTTGATCCAGATATCCAAATTTAAGCATAAATTTAATCTAAATATATTTTTTTTGTGAGTAATAAAAATAATAATATTAGTTATATTATTTTAACATTTATTTACCATATTTTCTTGATTCATGGACATTTTCCTGTTATTAGTCTGTTTTTTTTCTCGAAAAGTTGGTAAAGGCTTACAATTTATTTTAGTCAAAGTAAATAACCAAATAAAAGCAAATAGTATTAATATATAATTCATTATTATTTTATGTTATTTATTCAAATTTGATACCTAGATACATAAAATAAAAAGTAAATATAGGTTCATTATGCAAGTATATCTACTTATATAGGTAACTAAAAACAACCAGTCAGATAATGTAGGCAATTCTTTTTAATCAAATTAAGTTATTTAAACATGCCATTTTCAATCAAACATTTATGTTATGATTTAGCACATATACTTATTATTAGATTAATTCAACTTCATATAGTACCTTATCTTAGGGCCACGTCGATAAGCTTGACTTATTGGGGTCGAGTCTTGATATAAATCATAATTTCATTAAAAAATCTGATAAAAAATAATAATTAAAACTGTAATAGGTAAATACCTAATAAATACATTTTGGTAAGAATTATCTGGCTATTACTATTACTATTTAATACAGTTTAATGACCTTAGCTCATAGACAAATAATTGAACTTAATCCTATCCTGGTATACATATTATGATTGAAACATCCCTTAAATTTTTTATATTTCTGTTATATAATTCATTTAAGTTGTTTTTTATTAAATATTTTATAGTTTAAAAAAAACCAAATATCTACCTATACTAGTTTATTAACACACATTTTCCATAATCTTAACATAAAATGTTTAAGTACCAAATTCAATAATACAGTAAACAATTATCAGTGTGTAAATATAATACAAATTTAAATTCCAAGCTAGAGAAAGAATTATGAAGCTATGCACTTTTTGTGATAATGTGGTATTTTAGTTTATATTACATTTTTGCGTAGAAAGAATTAATTTGAGTAGGTACTTACCATAAAGGACATAGTGCTTCTCTTTTGATAATTTAGTTTAAAATTAAAAATTATTTTCATCAAAATAAAAAGTACTCATAAAGTCATAATAGGGTCCTTATTTGTTTGACTTTTTTAATTTTTATTCTAACAACCCCCCCCCCTTTATTTATAAGAAAGTAGCTCGGTAAAATTTGATGATAGCTTAACTCCTTAATGATTTTGATTTTGAATTTGATGATAGCCACAAAAAGTTGAACAATGACCAAATAGAATAATTTGACTATTTTTTGAATTTAATTATAGAAGATGAAATTATCTATAAAAAATATCTTGACAAAGTTTTAATTTTAAGTTTATAATTTTCTGAACAAATCAATAATTTAATTATACACTTATTTGAAAACATGTTATGGTAACTTGAATTTATTATTTAATTAGTGGATTAAAATACAATAAAGTAATATACATACATTTAATTTCATAATTTTAAGTTGGTAAGTTGGTGATTGAATATTTTAACGCCTAGACTTTTTGCTGTACTGTATTGATATAAAACAAAAATGTAGTATGGTTCAAAAAATGTTGGAAGAAGATTGAAAAGAAGAAGAAAAAAAAGTAAAAAGAAGTTTTACTTTAAATCACAATACATTACTATTTTTTTAAATAAAGATCAACCAGCATTAGTCTCAAATAAATTGATGAAACATTTTAAAATTTACAAAGGTTAATTAATTAATGAATTAATTATTTAATAAATTTAATAATTTAAATAGTAAATTAAATAATTTATAATTTATTAATTAATTAATTAATTTTTTAAAGATAAATACATTTTAATGGAATATGGAAATGGACTGTACTCAAGGTCAACAAATAATAGGGACATTTAAAATAATAAATGATTTAGTGGAGTTAAAATTTTGGAAGAGTTTAATGATAAAATAACAAAAACAATTTCAATTGAAAGTTGGTATTTTAAGTTATTTAATTATTTTTAAAATTGTTTCAGACTGTGCAATATAATAGTCATAAGTACCTGGGTTATAGCCGAGAATAGTTAAAAACGTCCTACACATTATGATTTCATTATATTTTGTCTATTATACAATCTGTAAGACTTGTGTGTATAATGCCCCTTAAAGTTTTTGTGAGAACGTAAGGTAACCGATAATATTTTAACGGTTAGCTCAAGCTGGGCATTGCAAGAATAGGTGTGATTGTGTTTTTTTAAATGCTACATAAGTTACCTATTAATACACAACAATTTATTCAGTGTATATTTTACTATATTTTTAGTAAATTACATTTAAAACGAATATTGTAAAATAAATAATATAAATATTATCGTATTTTTAAAAAGCTGCCAATATCTCCAAATTATATTTTCCTTCAAAATCATATAATAAAAATGTATAATACAAATAAAACTTTAAGAAAACAATTTATTTTTTATAACTTTAATATCATTTTTGAACAAATTTCTAGAGAATATTAAATGCTATTATATAAATAATACTATTTAAACTTCAATGGTTTTTAATTTACTTTCAATTTTACCAAAGAAGTACTTTTCCTTCAAAATCATAAAATCCGCCATTGTGAGATTCGTTAATATTATTCAAGAAATTACAAATTCCAGCAGTAGATTGTTCAACTTGAAGTGGTGCGTTTGCACCACCCATTGCTGTTTTTACCCATCCAGGATGAATGCTCACAGCTAATATTCCGTTAGTCTTAAGATCAATGCTCAGTGATTTTGTAGCCGCATTTAAAGCAGTCTAAAATAATATAAAATACATTACCTAACTATATTTAATTGTACATTCTAAAAAGAAAATTAGTAGTTATATTGATAATAATGATAATAAATATTACTTTGCTTGTTCTATATGCATAAAAACCACCTTGATCATTCTGAGCAATGGAACCTAATATTGAACTGATATTTACAATTACAGCTTTATTTACACCAGTAGAAGTTTCATTTTTTTCCGAGGCCGTTTTTAACAATGGTAATAATGCCTAAAATGTGTAAAAATATATTGATTAACAAAGATAAATTTGTAAATTAATATTAATAAAAAGTATAAATGGGTATTTTACTTGTGTTAACATTATAGGACCAATAGTATTTATCTTAAATTGATTTAATAAATCTTCAGACTTAACTAAACCAATTCTAGTAAATTTTGATGATATTCCAGCATTGTTAATTAGAACATTAAGGCCTTTATCCTTGACAATATTTGAAACTTGAGAGGCCAAATTAAAAAATGATCCATGATCAACTAAATCTAGAAATAAAGTAAAATAAATAAATAATCAATCAAATTAATAAGAAATATAAACAAGCATTGTTAATAAGTATTATAATTTACTTAACAAATGTTTACATTTTATGTATTAAATATTTCATTCTATTAGTTAAAGAATACCTGTTTTATTTACCTGCTTCGAGAATATGAAGTTGTGGATGTTTTTTCAATTCCATTAATTCCTAAAAAAAACTTTTTATTTTAAAGTATGAAATGTACCTGTATATTATACACAATACATGTATATATGACTAGATATTTATGTAATACCATATTATAATAATATAATAGGTAATTAAATGTGCAACTTACATAAGTATAAATTTTATTAACTTAAATTGTAGATTTGTAGCATTTAAATTAAATTTTCAAGATTCATAGAACCTTCAACTTATAAGTAAGTTTATTAGTTTACTGGCTTTATTTTAATAAATTATTTATTATTTATTTATAATAGATAATTGAAGTTATGTTAATAGGTACATTTTACAATGAAATATATTGGCAATATACAATTTTAATAAAAATAAAATTAATATATACCTGCCATGAAAATGAACCAAAAGTTTACTTAAATATTTTTAGAATTGAATTAAATTTGATGGGAAAACACTTGACTGAAGTATTATTAATGAACTATATAGTGTTACAGAAGTTATACAGTTTATTTAATTTCATATAATGCAAATAAATATTAGAAATCTTAAAAAAAAAATGGTGGTAAAATTATTTTGGCATAAGGGTCATGGGAGGAGGGGTAGTGAAATTTGCAAGATAATTTTCTAAAACTATTATTATTTACATGGGTGACCTTTTTTATTACTATAATGATATAATATAATATACAGATTAACTTTTAAGCATGCTCACCTCATATTTTGGCATGGACACTATTTAGATTTTTTACATCAAAGAAGTATCATGTGGTAACAACTTATGGTTTTTAAACGAGAACTTACATGTACTGTTGCAAATTATTAATTAGATGATGGATTGTAATTGAAATTCTTATAAAAAGTTACTGAGTTATTCAGTTTTAAATACGATAATAGGGTTTTGTGGCGATTGGAAACAGACTGTCATAGGAGTCGAGTATAGGCAATTTATATTTTTGTTTCGTGCAGTTAGGTTAAAGCAGGATAACTTAAAAACGTTTGGTTCAAATTTCGATTACAATATGTCAACATTTTCAGAAAAATCAACTAATTGACAATTTTATTAACATCAACACATGTAGGAGAAAAATCAAATTTGTCATCACCACAGGAATACAGGATACTCCTTAAATGTTATAAAAAATCCGAAAAAAATATGGTTTTTTCAATATAATATCTATTTAAAAATTCCAAAAATCAGAACTTGAATTTATTTATAATTTACCATAAAAATGGGGCGAACATAATTATAAAAACAACCATTATATTATTATTATAAATATTTAATAAAAATGAGGTATTGGGAGGATAAAGCCTCCTCATTACATGCATTTAATAACCCCTGAAGGCCTGAAACAAAATCAATTTATAATTTAAATTAAAACTACAAAAAATGATTTTTACATTGAAAAAGGTATTTACTACTTAATTTAAATAATTATTAGAGTTCAGTTTCTTCCATGAAAATAATCAGCTTCTTCCATGAAAATAATTAGTTCCATGCAATCAATAGATAAGGTAGTGAATAATGAATTGCATTATTTCTTTATTCGTATTCACACCCAAGGTCTAAGTGTAGTCATACCACTCGCACCTATTCAGTATTTATAGTTTTTTAACTAGTACCTACTTAACAGTTAACATTACCATTCCGAAGTCTATTGTATACACAGTTTGCGTTTTTTTTCTTAATTTAAATTTTTAATCGTTAACAACAATTAATATTTTGACTATTTAATGTCATAAAAATTTGTTTTCTTTAAGATAATAAAAATATAGTGTGTGTATTTGTGTGCAGTTTAAACGCCAATATTATATTAGAATGGCTCCTATTGTATCTAGTAAGTATCATAATTACCTTAGCTTTTCCTGTATCTCTACATGTTGCAAATACGTTCTCCACCTTAAATGTTTCATTTGATAGTAATTTTTTCACTAGTCCAAGTCCTATTCCTCTATTTGCACCAGTAACTAATATAGAACACATTTTAATTTTAGCGAATTAACAATTAAAGTTGATGAATCATGGGTAAATGAAAACCATTCTAAACCATGTTACATAACGTTATGATAATATTTTCGATTTTAGAAACTTAACTTGCCAGTTGCCACTACTGATGAGAATCGTGTTTCTTATCAGGCTACTTCGAATGATTATATAATACTTTTAGTTTTTATTACAATTTAAGAGTTTTAAATTGCAATAGATACTCTGTTTTAATGTTAATTTCTCAATTAAGGTAAAATGTTTTTTTTTCGTTCGTTATCTGTAAAAGTTTTTCAAAGACATGTTAATGTTAATAAACATTTTTTAAGCTGTAACACTAATTTTAGAAGAAAAATAAGTTCATGTAAATACCTAATTAAAATTTATTTAATTGTATACAATTATATGACCTCATTATTTCTGCAAATAATTTGTTTATTGTGTGTTATGAAAATAATATGAATAATGTTAAAAATTCTATACAGATAATTTTGATAGAATAAAATATATTATATTATCTTATTTAAAAGTATATTATTGTATTACAACTATGAAAATGTAAAATAAAATTATGTCAAAAGTCTGTATTACACTGGATTGACAATATACTGTGATGTGTTGAACATGTTGTTGATTTGAAGATTCACTATTACATATGTTCGATATTTATAAAAATTTATTTTTTTATTTTCATGAGTTGAAAACTGCTGTGCAGTGTTGTTTAATTTATTTAATTTATTTTGGTATTCTTTATTATAAGTGTAAATATTTTAATAATTTTCAAAAAAAAATGTCTACTGATAAAGGTATTATTTTAGCAGCAGCAGCTTTCATTTTAACTATCGAAGACGAATCACGATTCAATAAATTTTAAACCTAATGAAGGTATTCATAGCATGTTTAAACAATTTTTGTGGATGACATTTACCAATTTTGACGATCGGATTTAAAATATTACACAAGAACACAAATTTTCGAGAACCTATATCCATAAATAAAAGCCAAAAAAAATTGTCAATAATTTTACCACCAATGTGTACGGTTGTCCATTTAGTTTCGTTTGATGTTTACCGACTTTGTCACTCGACAAGTGTAATTGACACCCTAGTTAAAACAAATTCGGTAGTAGATGTTGAATCAACATGTCAATTGACTGATGACAATCCAGTATAATACTAAATATTAATAAAAAAAAATAATAATTTGTAGACTGTATACTGATATCATACCTACCTAAGTTTCAAAATTAATCATTTTTATTTTTTGATTTATTATTTAGGTGGCCAATATGATTATGATCTTTTAGTTATTGGCGGAGGATCGGGTGGTTTAGCATGTGCTAAAGAAGCCACTGGTTTTGGAAAAAAAGTAGTCGTTTTAGATTTTGTTATACCATCAGAGAGAGGTACTACTTGGGGAATTGGTGGTACTTGTGTAAACGTAGGATGCATACCTAAAAAACTTATGCACCAAGCTGCTTTATTAGGAGAATCCCTCCACGTATGTCAATATTTATGATCTTTTATTTTAATACAAATCAAAACAATTTATCTTTGAACTAAAATTTTATAAATTGCAAATTATATTATTTCTTTTTTGTCTTGGGTAAAAATTTTATAGGTTTATTAGTAATTTTTTTTTCATTTACTTATATTAGGAAGCGCGCAGTTATGGATGGAATGTACCAAATTCAATTTCTTTCAATTGGGAATCTTTAGTTGAAGCAGTACAAAATCACATTAAATCAGTGAACTGGGTTACACGAGTGCAATTAAGAGACAAGTAGAATCACACAATTTTTTTGATTTTATATAAAATTGTACAACCATTCTAAAATTACTAAAATTCATATTTTTTATAGGAATATTGAATATGTTAATGGCCATGGTGTATTTGAAGATGCTCATACTGTTGTGGCAAAGATGAAAAATGGAAAAGAACGACGAATAACAGCAAAGGATATTTTGATAGCTGTGGGTGGACGTCCACATTACCCAGATTTTCCAGGCTGTAAAGAATATTGTATAACTAGTGATGACATATTTTCTTTGTCTACACCGCCAGGAAATACTTTAGTTATTGGGGCTGGATGTAAGTAAATTATATTATTTCAGTGTTTAAGTGTTAATCATACTTGTATAATTACAATACAAATGTAATATATTATTTAAATACTATTAATGTATGGAATAAAGAATTTTTACAAATAGTTTATTGAGGAAATAATAAAATTTGAAAATAACAGTATGATTTTTATATTTCTTTTTAGATATTGGATTAGAATGTGCTGGTTTTTTACGAGGTTTGGGTTATGAAGCAACTGTTATGGTGCGATCTGTGATCCTTCGAGGCTTTGACAGAGATATGGTTAATCTAGTTCAAGCTGAAATGGAAGAAAAAGGTGTAAAATTTTTAATTGGTAAAACACCTACAAAAGTGTCCAAACAACCAAATGGGAAATTGTTAGTTGAGTGGTTAGGCAACAAAGTAGTAAGTAGTATTTTTTAGTAAAAAAGTAATATTTTAATTGATAGTTTAAATCTTAATAATTTTTTTTGAATTACTATAATTTTAGATTGAACAAGGTGAGTTTGATACAGTTCTTGTAGCTACAGGACGTAAAGCTCTTTCAAAAGAATTGAATCCATTGGCTGCTGGATTAGAAGTTCATCCTGAATCTGGTAAATTTACCGTCAATGCTGAACAGACCAATGTTCCAAATATTTATGCAGTTGGTGATGTATTGCATGTAAGTAAAATTTATAAAAATTTATTAAATTTAATATTGACTACCTAATGGATTAGATTTTTTTTTATTTTTGAATATACCTTTATATTATTTAACTTTTTTATCACACGGATTTTTCAAATTTAACCTAAAAATTGATTTAAAAAAAAATTCTACTGTATGCAATAGAGCTACACTAGTACTTTAATTTTGTATTAATTCAACTATATTTCAATATTTTAAATATTAAATTAATATTTAGGAAAGACCTGAGTTAACACCTGTAGCAATTCAAGCTGGTAAATTATTAGCTGCAAGATTATATAATGGTGGTAAAGAACATATGGATTATGATAATGTTGCTACAACAGTTTTTTCACCTCTTGAGTATGGTTGTGTTGGTCTCACAGAAGACGAAGCAATTAATAGATTTACTGAGGATAAAATTGAAGTAAATTGTGTAGATAAGTTTTACAGTTTTAATTGTTTAACAGTATTAATTATTGATATAAATTAAATTATTCAGGTGTACCATGCATATTACAAACCTACTGAATTTTTTATCCCTCAAAAAAATGTTAAAAATTGTTATTTAAAAGTAATAACTCTATTAGAAGCCCCACAAAAAGTTTTGGGTATGCATTTTATTGGGCCACAAGCAGGGGAAGTAATACAAGGATATGCAGCAGCATTAAAGTAAATATACAATACAACATATACAAATATTATTTGTAATTTAATCTTTGTTGAAAAAATAGGTCTGGATTAACATTTGAACATTTAAAAAATACGGTCGGTATTCACCCTACAATATCTGAAGAATTCACTAGAGTGGGTATCACTAAACGGTCAGGAGAAGATCCAACTCCGCAGAGCTGTTGTAGTTAAAATATTTGTTTTAATCTAATATATACTAGAATACTCGTTTATGTTTACTTGTAAAATTCCTGTGGTGTTATGGTATTAACAATTGATTATAATTTAGGCAGTAATTTTTATTCATTTAATACTTAATTAGGTAATTAATTTTATACCAGAATTATTATACAAATACACTTAAAAATAAAATCTCTTTGAATTTGCATTAACTTATGTTTTTTTTTTACTGACTATAGTCCACTATATTTCAATGGTTCTAAAATAGTTAAGACTACTTATTTCAGATAACATTGATTGTAATACTTGTAAAAACCCTCAAACTTTTGACTTCACTCAAATTATAGTACATAATATGATCAAAAAAATAACACATACACTATAATGGAGAGAATATTTATACATATATATATATATATATATTATGTAGTAAAATTAATATACTTGACAAAAATAGATTTACCCATAGATTACATAAATAATTGTAAATACTTTAAAAAAAAATTTTTTACCATTTTATAATTATTGGGGAGACGTCTTTAGTTTCCCCTGATGCACTGCCCCTGGGTGTAGGCATATCTATATATCTAATAATAGCGAATCTATGACAATCTAGGAAGGGGTACATTTATATAATTTACACATTTAAATTTTAGGTAATGCAATTGAAAACTGTCATTTAAACTTGTTATAGTAAAATATAATTATTATTATTATTATTATTTGTATTTCTTTCAAAATGATTTAAAGTATTCAATAATTATTGATTATAGAATAAATTATTCTATAATCAATGGTAAAATTAAATACAGTGCAGTTATTCTCGTCGTGTATTTTCAGTGATGGGCTGTTTATAGCTGGATGAGTGTGATAGATGTGGAAGATAATATTATTTATATCTATTAATAAAACCAGTAAAAATATATTATTGTCTACTAGTTATACATAAAAATATAGTCATTTTTAAAAAAAAAAAAAGCTAAATTTATTTTAAATGGTAAACAAATAATAGTAATCAACATTGTATAAGAGTGATATACATTAAATACTTAAAAACTACAAAGATATTACACGGTATGTACAAGACAAATAATTATCAAGATAAGTATATAATTATGGGGGTTTATTAATGAAATGCACTTGTGAAATATTTATGCACCAGTTATCCAAACCATTAAGAGTAAAATATTAAAATAGGTACATTCTAAATGTATGAATGTTATAGGACAGTGTAATACATTTCTTCACTAAGTAGTAGGTATTTAATTTTACCTTTAAAATATGTAACCAATTATATAGTAAACATTTAGATAAAATAAATTCAAACATTTAAATTCATAATTTAATCCTAGTATAATTTTCTAAGTTTAAAATATACAATGATATAATTATTATGTATTCTTTTTATTTTTGAGATTTTTTGTTTTTAATCCATTCTTCAATTTGATTTTTCAGTTCGACATTGGTTATTACCATATCCATAGTAAGATGAGAACGATTAAACGGATCAGTTTGGTCACTTAATAAATGTCTAAAATAAATAAAATGAAAATAAATTTCATTTTTTTCTAATTTTAAGTAGAATATACCTTGCTATAGTAGATCTATCAACATTTATTTTACTTGACGGCAAAATTACTGGGTCTATCATAAGGGTAGACATGATAGGATCTAAAAAGTTTTCTGGGGCTTCAGAAAATAATAACTCTTCATCATTACTTTGTATTCCAAGTTCTGATACTTTTTGTGCCATAATAGTTATTCCATCAATTAGGTGTCTTCCTCCAATTTTAACTACAAATTTATGAAAATAATTATTTTGAACAAGTTTTTAAATTATATTTCAATAAAAATCTAAATGAATATAAAACCTTGCTTAAGAACTAATTATTAAGGTTTAAAAAAAATTAACATAAGATGCTATAATATTGTATTTACTTAAAAAATGTATCTTATAATAAAATATTAAAAAACGATTTACAATAAAAAAAAAATCATACAATTTTAAATATTTCTAATCTTAAAAGTTAATGGCCATTGTTTCTTGGCAATATACAAAAAAATACAACATTATGTTTTTTATATATTTATTTTATCATCCAGTGATCATATTAATACCCACTTTTACTAATGAAATGTTCTTTTTCAAGAATATTATTAATTATAATTACTCCACCATAACTAGGTTAAATATGTAAAAAAAACAATGTTTGACTGATTTATACCTATATCATTTAAATATTTACAATACCTAGAACATTTTCAGTTTGTTTGAAAAGTTGTGAATTGTATGAACGGCCATCTCTAGAAATAGCTAAACAAAATGCTTCACTATGTTCACTCTCTCCCAAATTTAAATATATCGTACAAATATCCAATACTATTTCAGCTGGTGCAAATTTGTATTCTTTCATATCTTTTACCTATGAAATAATTTAAATATTTACATTATTAAGAGGTTTTAATTTCGAGTACAATCACAAAACTATTGATTTAATTTTATATTTAATTTGTATGTAGCTCACATATTTCAGATACTGAGAGCATTCTTACTGTTTTAAAAAAAAAAGTTTTTGTCTGTAAATAACTGTTTTACAAGACATTTTACATTGATCATCAATATCCAAGGTGGTTTATAGTAGAAAATGTATTTCTAGTAAGTGCAATAAGGACATATTTTTCATAGTAGTAATAATAATAATAATATTTTTATTACTTTAAAAAAATATATTTACTTATGCTTTGTGCATAAAACTTAAAAGTTTTAAGTTCATAATACATTGCATATTTATTATATTTTATGTATTTAAAAAAAGTTGATAATAAATTAATAAACACCTTTTACAAAGTTCTACCAAAATTATTATTTTATTTATTAGTATATTATTTATAGTATTTTATTTAAAAAGTATATTATTTCTTAATTTTGAATTTATTTTGATTTTCTTATATGCAATTTTAAATTTATAATAATAATATAATACTTTCATTTGGTTTAAAACAATTTAAAAAATATTTAGCAACTTTTACACCATGTAATATCAATATTTCTAATCCATAATATAAATATTACAATAAAAACGATAACAATTAAATTATTATTTATTCAATTCAGTTGTGGCATAGATAGTGTACTCACTTTGAAATTTTTTTTTTTGGGCCCAACCAAGTGGCATAAAAAATAATTTAACATAGCAGCAACTCTATCTACCATTGTAGTATGGCAAAATATTGATTTAATTTCTGATGTAAGGTATTTTAAAGTATTAATAGTCTCTTTCCCAAGAATATTGTCAAATCTGCAATTACAATATTTTTACAGTAACCAATTAATTGTTTTTTAATTAAAAGATGAAATTATAGATGTTTTACCTAGCAATCATTCCAATGTGTTGTAAGTATGACAAATTTTGTGATCTTTCTCTATGAGACAAATTTGCCCATTCGCCTGATTCACTATAATTAGATAAAAATAAAAATTATACAATGTTACAATTTTATTTAAAATTAAATAATAACTAAAAGTAGTTATTTTATGTATTATTATATTTATATATATTAACTTTAAGCTTTTATGGAAAGGAAAAACAATTTAAATTTAAAACAAGACTTCGTATATAGGCATTTCCTATTTTTTCTATTAGTCCGATTTTCAACTAAATCAGCTAAAAATTTGTTTTATACTATGTATATATGTATTAATTATTTTATTACGCTTTTTTGATTTTTTTTTAAAAATGTTTTATTGATTCTTTTTATTTTCATATTGCTTTTTCCAAATTTCAATGTATAGATTTATACCATTGGTCCCCAACCCGTGGGACACATGTGGGTCTCAAAGGTATTTTATTTGGTCTATTACAAATTTTTAAAATAAAACAAAAAATTCAAAAAAAATTTAAAAAATATTTGTGCTTTTTTTTGTTGGAGATTTTAAAATGGAAATAATTTGATTTGATGAGAATATCTCCTGTAATTATATACTTAAAAGAGCATACTGATCAAACTAATGTGTACTCTGTATCAATTCGTAATATTTTCAATAGTTAATAAAAAAAATAAGGAAACAAGTTCAATATAAACTTACATGTATATGTTGTAAATAGTAGGTACAAAAAAGATTTCTTATTTAACTATGATGACTATAGGTTAATCAATTTCTCATTTTTAACATTTTAAAATACTACAAATTAAAAATTACTATTTATAAGCATTCAAATAGGATACAGAAAAAAATTTAATGTATATCTGTAAACAACGATAAACCATTGCTAATAAAAAGCGATTCTGAGTGCAGTTCAGTTGATAATCTAGTACTTCGACAACAATTTAAATGCCATATTGTGGTAAAATAATTAAATAGACATTATATATTTTCTTTAATTTGTTTATTTTAATAATCTTCCTGCATTTTTCCTATGTTTTTTTTTAGGTTTTTAAAATTTGTTAAGAAAACTCTGGGGAAAGTCGAAAAATGATTTTTCTAAAATACTTTCCCAATCAGATTTGCTTTCAAAAAGTGGTCATTTTAAATTTGAAAAAAGGCCAAAATATTTTTTTACTAATATCTACATTTTGTACATTTTCTGTTTTTTCGAAATCTTATTCCGATATTCCCAGATATTATGAAAACCGCTTGAAAAATCCTTAAAGTACCATATCGATAAAATTTCGTTTCAGAAAATAAGCTACATTTTATACATCGAAGCAAAATTTCTGGTAGAAAAATTTTGCACAACCAATCAAGGAGTATTTTGCGATTCAAATCGTTCGAACAAGCAATTGCTTAGGACTCTGGGTACACCGTTTTTCCATGATTAGGTAAAAAGGAAAAAAAATTCAAAAAATTTATTTTTCGATATCCAGGTTTGAACTCGCGATCCCTAAGATGTTGATAGATATGTAAAGTTTGACAATATATAGTTATTTAACAAAACATATATATAACAGAACTTCAAAAAGATAATTTCAAAACTATGTCAGTCTGCTCAATTCTTACTACACCATCATTCATAAATATATTCAAAATATAAAATTGAAAAATTTGATTTGATACACATAATTTTTAACTCTAGATTTTCAGCAAAATTTGAATTAAAAATTCCTCAAAAATTCAAATTTTATTTTGACCACTAAGTGAGACTTTTAATAAACCTTCTGTTAAATTTTCAATTATTTCTGTTAAGTTTAACAATTTTACCATACGATACCTACCGAATAAAAACTACATCAAAACTTGCGAAATTTAAGTGTTTATAAATAGTTTAAAAATGGTTTAAACTTTTTGATAATTTAATTAGTTTTAGAAAAGGTAAATATATGTATTCTGTCCAAATTTCATATCTCCACGAATATTTTTAACTGAATTACAACAAATAACAAAGCTAAACAAATCTTAAAAGTATTATTTTAGTAAATTTCCTGTTTTTATTACTTATTTCCCACTTATTCTCTTTTATTGGAAAAACTCCCAGAAAAATTAAAAATGACCTCTCTAAAGTATCACCCCAAGAAAATTTACTTTCAGAAAAAGGTCTTTATCATGTATATTGGAGCAAGATTTTTGGTTGAATATTTGTGTACACATTAAAAAAAAAAAATAAACATCTTTGTAAAACCAATACATTCATCGCTACACTCAGAATCTAAAATTAAGATCCCGAAGTGTATAATATAAAGTGCCATTTAAACTACATTTCATCTTTCAGGTTTGAATCCCAAATACATTTGTTTTTATTGATTATATTTTTATCACTTATATTTTTTTTAAATTATTTACCACTTGTATATTTTTTTAAAAAAAACTCTTAAAAATAGGTCAACATAAAACATATTAATAAATAAAGGGTAAAAATGAAACAATATTATTACAATATTTTGATTTGAATGATATTTATGGAGTTATAAAAATTGAAATTGGTAGATGTAGAATAATAGTATACATATTTATTAATTACGGAAAAGCTAAGATTTGTTGTAGTGCTTTATTGCTTTATTTTAGGGGTTTATGTTACAACATCCAAACTTTATTTATAACTAATATAAGCAGGGTTTTTACTATTTAATATATATCTTAAAATAATATAATGATTTATATATGCAGTTTTTAATAACATTAGAATTTGAAAAATATATAATTGTTTGTTAACACATATTTATTATTTACTTACTGAGCAGTTTGCATTTGTCTTAACTGAGCCATATTAGTTAATGCTTCATCTAATAAAAACACAGCATCATTCATAAGTAAATTAATGAATCTTAAAAATAATGGGGGAGAAGCTGCTTCCATATTATTTTCTGCATATTTAGCCAATGACCTTAAGTACAATTCATTGCACAAATTAATATTTATGTAATAATATTTGAATTACAAATATCATTTTTTCAAAATATAAATGTATTACTTGAAAACTTCTCTATGTTCTTCTAATTTCCATAAATAGTCCATAACAAAATACATAGGTCGACGATAATTAAACTTTTGTTCAAATTCTACACTCTGTCCAGTCATTTCAATACCCACAAATACATCCAAAATAGCGTATACAATCTTAAATAAAATATTGAATTTAGAATAAAAGGTAAATGTTTTAAAATATTTTCTTAAATAAATTAATAAGAATAACATAATAGCTATAAAAATGCATAGATACATTAATTAACTATTAAGGTGGATAATTTACTTGATTTCGATGTGGGTGGTTTAAAAATAACATTTTTCTGTTATATACTCCTATATAATTTTGCGCCAACACAGTATCTTCTTCAGAATGAGGTAATAAGCAATCTAAACATTCAGCTAGACGGGCACGCAAATGTGGATTTCTCACTCGACTATTAGATGTCATAAAGATTAATATTGCATTTAACAATTCATTGATTAATGTAGATCCCGGTTCTTCTAAAGAACGTGGATGAAAGCGACGCACCAATGTTAAATATCGCCAAATATTTTCTAACAGAAATTCAGGAATGCATCTGAAAACCATAACATATTATAACTTTGTTTTTGTCAGTTGAATGCTGTTTTATTACAACATTGATAAAATTACTTTAATGTAGGTGGAATGAAACTAGGTAATGGAAATTTAATAGGTTTGAATGTATTTGGACTGTAAGACTGGAGATCATTTGATTGAAAATCTTTGTCTACATCAAACACAACTTGAGTAAGCCATACACATGTTGCCTTTTGAAATTGGCTCATCAAGTGTAATGTCGATGGTTCAAGAAGAGCAGCTTTTAATGATAGATACCTAAAAAATATATATTATAACAATAATAAAAATATATTATCATTAATTTTAAATTCTAAGCGTAGTGAGGGATCTAATGGTTTTACTGTTTTTTTTTCTGACTTAAAACAACTTTTTGACCAGAAATTTTAATTGAATCAAAAACTTCCAAGAGGTCTTTTCAATGAATTTTAGAACTTGTTGCTGAGTAAGAAAGTTATTTTTTGATTTGTCATGCAGTTTTTATAATAATCAAGAAAAACTAGAAAAATTAGCAAAATAAAAAATTACTAATTGATGACTTATGATTTTATTATTTTAAATGTTTATAAAATTATGTTTTCTTTCATAAATCTGGCTCCAATCAAAAAACGACAAGTGACCTTTTTTTGTTACATTTCAGATTGAGTTGGTGATTTAGTAGTGGTTTTTTGATTTCCCATGTAGTTTTCATAGAGCAAAACCAGGAAAATACATTTGTTTCATAATGGTTTCATTATTTTCAATTTTGTTGTAATTTGAATAAAAGCATTTGTTGAATGGAAATTCTGACAAAAAAATTACATTTGCCTTTTCTATACATAATTAAGATTTTTGAGCTATTTATAGACATTTTATGTTTGTGTGATTATTATTTAGTATGTGGATATAAATATATGAATATTTTAACAAGCAGAAATGCATGAAAATTTAACAGAAGATTCATTTTAAGTTATACCTAGTAATCATGAAAAACAAAACAAAATTAGAGTGTAATGTAGTATTTGTTTTTTATAATTGTTTTAAGATCAAATTTTGAAGAAAATTGTAAATATTACGGCCTAACAAATCTTGTATAAACAAATTTCACTCAAAACCGTTTTTCTTTAGTTATGGTTTATCCTTGCTAACAAATATAAATTAAATAACTTAATGTACCTATCCCACTTCTCACCTACATCAATAACTCACCTGTCCTCTGTATCTGATCTTGTTTTTAATAATGTGTTTTTTCTACATAAATCTATATTTTTATTAATACATTTCATCTTTATATTATAATCACTTACTTATTCATTTCATTTTCTATTCGCTCATTAATAAGTTTCATTACTTCTGTTGGGGTCGCACCAGCACTTTGAGCATCTATAAATGTCTGTTGCAATCTTCCAAGTTCTTGATTACAAGTTATTAATTTTTCAGCGACTATAGCAAATCCTATTTCTAGTGACTTTTGGGTCATGTAAAAACATTCTGTAATAAAATTAAACTGTCCTTTAGCTAAAGGTCTGTCTTCTAGAGGATTATCATTTTCACTATCAATTGGTAACAGCATAGTGCTGTCATTCAACTTCCATAAATGTACTCCACGTTCTCTACTTTCTTCACTATTTTGAACCTAAACATATACATTTATGTATTATAAATAATTATAACAAATTATTTAGTAAGCAATTAATTTTCTAACTTTTGCTACACAGTAGGTAGGATCAATTTTTAACAATTTTAGACTATCTGAGTTCGAAATGAATGGTTGGCACAGTTTTAAAAGAACAGTACTTAGGTTAAGTGCAAATCCATCTGAAATGAACCCTAACATTGTTGTTTCAACATTCCATAATTTACAGCGTCCTGAATTTTTTTCCAAACAACGTCCCAACCATAATAATGTTTTGTCTTTAACTTCCGGTCCAGCTTTTAAGAGATTTAAAAATATTTTATGTAACTGCTTATGTAATTTTTCCATTCCAATCCATATGCTACTTTCTAATTGTCCACTAACCTGTAAAAATGATTTTTTTTTTTTAATTTTATTTGCTAGACAATTAATTATACATAAAAACATTTATTCAGAAACTAACAATACATTAGATTCTGAGTAAAGTGAGGAATGTATTGGTTTTACTATGATGAGTTTTTATATTGAAATAAGAAATTTAACTTATGTATATTAAAATAAAACAAATTAAACATTTTATTTACTACTGAAACACATTATTTATGTAGACAAATGAAATAAACAAGTAGATTAATGACATGAAATAAATAATAAACACTCACATTTTCAATAGGTTTTTGAAAATGTTCATAATGACCATCAGGGGTTAGTGGTAAAACAGATAATGCAAAAGCAGCCCCTAATACTGTATCTGTAAAATTGAAACCGGGCGCCATCTCTGGTACATAACATTCATCAATCAGTACCTAAAAATAAGAATATCCAACATCCACAAAATGTTTGTCAAATGTTTTATTATATTTTTATTTTAATAAGTAGTTTTAACAACATAAGGTAACAAGAGTAAAGTAATTATAAAACAAAATACAGAAAATAAATTTAATTTATTATAATATCTTTAAATTATAGCATTCAAATCAGAGCAGATAAACTTTCAAATATTTTTTAAAATAGTTAAGGTAGGCCAAAATTAAAATTATTTGATTGAATCAAAATATAATCAAATATATACCTTGAATATAAATTAAGTAGAATTGATACACTTCTTTATAAAACTAAAATATTTAATATATCATTTAATTTTTCTGAATGGTGTAAATTGATAACAAAATGAATACATTAATTGTTATAGTAGTAAGTGTCAAGAGTAGTTGATGCCAGAAATATTGAGCCTATTTCATTTTATTGCTTTATTTAAGCAATTTAAAAGATATTTATAGCAATTTATAAATTATAACATTTAAAAAAAAACAATACCTATTCAAGATTGAATTTAGTAAGGATTTTTCTAAATTTAAAATAGTTAAAATATTTAAACATTTTACCTATATATGGAAATTAATAATCATTATTAAATAATTAAATAAATTATTTTTGACCAAGCTATTTCTTATTTTTACTTACATTTGCTAATAATGGTTCGGCAGAAAATACTTGTACGGCTGAAATTTCAGTGAATGGCAAAAATATAATTGTTCCTTGTAATATCTTGTTTTTTATTGTTTTTAATAATGATTTGTATATGCATTTCATCTGAGCTTCATTATTATCTTCATCCACAATGATTTGTTTGTTGATAAGAGTAAAAAAGTTCACATAATCTTCAAAAGGTGCCATATTAGTTTCAAATATGCTTAAAATCTAAAAATAAAACCAATATTTTAACATAATTGAATATATTAGTTTCACTATGTATAAAACTGATTTTTAAAATTCTATGATAATTAAATCAATAGCATAGATAAGTTATAAAATGTAAAAATAATAGTATTTGCCAGAAGTGAGATTAGAGAGGAAGATAATGATAAATAAGTGTCTGCAATCGGAGAGGGTAGATAACTTTAAATCATAGAGAATGGAGGAGTAATCATGAGGGGGGGTGAGAGATATTACAGCAGAAACCAATTACATGGAGAATTTTAAGTAGGGCGAACAAGAGAACAGATAAGAGATTTGAGTGGAAAAAGAAGATGGAAATTAAAAGGCTTATAACTTTCAAAGGTTTAAGGGCTTTGTAACAGATTTCAATAAGTTTTAGAACAGTGTTACCCAACCTATGGGTCACGATGAGGGAAAAATATTTCAATTATAATATAATAAAATAAAATAGAAAAAAAAAAATATATAAAATAGTAAGAATAATAAGAAAATAAGCAAATGTAAAAAAAAACAAAAGGAAAAACTGAAAATGTATAAATTATAAGTATTAGTTAAAACATAGTATGGTCTTCTTTTTTCCTTCAAACAACTTTTCTACCAGAAATTTTACTCATATTTACAATGATAGCACTTTTTCTGAAAAGAAATCCGACTGGTAAGGTACTTGAAGGAGGTTATGTTTTAAATTTTCCAAGAGTTTTTCAAGCAAATATTATTAAAGAAAATATATAATACCTATTTAATTATTTTACCATAATATGTGACGTATAATATATTATTGACAAAGTATCGCTATCAACTGAACTCTGCTCAGAATCATTTTTCGTTAGAAATGATTCATCATTCCTTACAGATATACATTAAATTCCCTTCTATATCTTCCAACTTTCCACCTACAACAGTGACTGTACCCCATTATCCAAGGGCAGCTTTTTTTTAATATGGGTCGCATACCCAAAAAATAGTAAATGTGCAGGTTGCCATAACAAAAAGGTTAGGAACCACTGTTTTAGAGAATAAAGGGTAGGTGTTAAAGTAAAACTAAGATCACAAACAGAAGCTCAGGAAGATTTTGGTGAAAGACTATTTATATGGTAGGTAAATTTTAACTAAGTATAAATACGGGGAAAAAACATGATTGAGCATTCGGAGGAATTTAAATAAAGGCCAAGGATTTCACCCCAAGAAACCTTAAATCAATTGGTTTCTTAATTATAATAAGATAGTTAAAAAGAGAAAAAATGTGTGAATAGAGCTTCATGTCGTCGGCAAAAATTAGTAACTTGACATGATTAAGAACAGAAGATGCAGAGTTTACAACGAAAGCAAAGAGAAGAGTAGAAAGAACCATTTCTTGAGGGACACCCAAGGTAGGGAACAAGGCATATGAAGATGAGTTTTAAACTTCAATAAACTGGGTTATGTTCATAAGGTAGGAGCAGATCCAGAAGAGAAGTGGTTCACTGATACCAAGTAGGTCCAAAGTTTTGACAGAGAATGAATGATCAACGCGGTTGAACGCCTTAGAAAAAACGGTGTATATAACATCATCCTGGTTACAAGCAACAAAGAAGTTGTAATTGAAGGAAGTGAAAACAAGATTACATGTAGTGTTAGATTGGTCAAGGTGGAATCTATGATCATCAGCGAGAATATGATTAAGAAAAGAACATATAAAGTTTAAAACTAATGATTTAAAATTGTTTAGATACATGATGGAGAATAGTAATTGGTTGATAATTTGTGACGTTTGAACGACAGTCAGATTTATGAAAAGGAATCACAGACCCTTGCTTAAGAATACAGAGGAAAATACCAGAAACAAATGATTTTTTAAATAATAAATAAAAAAAATTTAATTTAATTTTTTAATTGTATCACAATAGTTAGTCAGAATTTTCGATTTACATAATATAACTAATGTATTTTATCCTTATTAACTTTGTAAAAAAAATTACATGCAATCCTTTTCATATTCTTTACTAATCTAAATACCAATAATTGATAGGTAAATCATTTTTTTTTAAATTTTTTGTGATAAAAATGTAAGCCAGCATTTAATTAGAATTCACCACTTAGTCTAATCATCACTGAAATTGTTTTAAATAGATATTAACGTTTAAAATTTGTATGATATGTAACTTGAAATAACCAAAAACTTTACTAGGGATTTTTAATTATTATTACAATAGACGTAAATAAAAGACAAAAATAAATAGAACAAGTGAAAACTTTGAACTTAGATGAGGTTAAATTTTATTAATTAATTGTTTTAAATAAATTATAACTTCTTAGATGTTTTCATGTAAATCTTTCTGTATTTAATTTAATTTTTTTTTCATACAACTACACTTGGATTCATCCCGTGAAAAATAATTCTATTTGTCTTTAATGCATCTTAATTATAAGTTATTCTAAATATTATAGTGTAACTTAGATATATTGTACTAAGAAAAACAATTTTAATAAATATACCTGTTCATAGACATTTTGTGGGCTATACAGATCAGGTTGTCTAAGTGCTGTAGATACATTAGTAGACAAAAAACCAATGATTTTTGAGTAAATATCTTCTCCAATTGATGGATAACGTTTTTCTTGTTTTGCAAAAGTTAATTCTATGAAACACTTAAATAAATATACAATGCACTCTTTTTGAACAGTATGTGTGATAAATTTGTTAGCCACGTTGGTTTTATTCTTTAATATATACTTTTCTGGGTCAGGTAATAGTGTTCTTTCAAATATGGCTTGTTCAAGAAGTTCTAATTCTGTTCCACTAGTGATATTCGTCTTCAATATTTCAAGCAAATCTGGTAAATAAATAACTGGAGTGTCATACTCTTTATCCAAGATAGGTATCATTGTAAAGTGAAATACATCTTCAACGAACTTATTGAAAGTTGTATCAATCCCATTATTGAATAATGTCATTTTAGATTCAATTGTGTTATCCGTAGATTCACATAAGTCGTCAAAACTACTTTTATGAAATAATGAAAATTCGTTGCGCTTGTTCGACATTCGTAGTTTGTACACGTAATAACTTATGAGACAATAAAAAATTGATTCAAAAATATTGAATTACTAGAGTACTGAATAATGAGTACTGCAGTACTGACCAATTATACATAACTTTAATAATGATGATAATATGATATTATACAAATTTCTTTCTTGTTCCGCTATCTGTATTTGGCCGTAGTAACCGCGGTATAATAATTTTGATATTTATGATAAAGAAATCTTAGATTAGGTCACGATCAAGGAGTGGCCATATCATTATGAATGTGAAGTGAAGAAAGAGGGGTGGTAATTTCAGTGTGACCATAATACGGAAAATAAATTATTATCTATGTGCATTTTACAATATTTATGAACACTATGTACTACCATGATCAAGATGGATATTAAGAGTAATAAATATATATATTATATAGAAATGTAAACACTTCGCTTAAAAATTGATTGCATTGTCTACCCAATGAGAGTTCATATTTTTAATTATTTTCTATACGGATGTATCATATACAGTGCACTATGATAGAAATAATTAAATGCAGTGAAACATTTAATTTAAATGATAAAATACTTACGTACGTTAATTTGTCTATAAGAGTTTAGAATGGATAATCCAGTATCTATTTATTTATTATCATTTTTATTGCACTGTCAGAAACGCCATATAGTGTTTACTGGAGTTGTGAGAGGTGTACAATGACGTTCAATTTTACTTCAGTATCATATTAATGATTGATACATAATGTCGTCTCTATAGTTTTATTACTCTAAGGTCACAATCATAGAGTAATTAGTTACAAGCCCGTATCCAGGGGGGGATTTTAGGGGTTCAAACACCCCCCGAAATTTTTATAGTAGGTATATATTTATAATATAACTAAGACTAACTACAAACTCTATGTATAATTTATTTCATTAAAAATATTTTAACCCCCCCCCCCTAAAATTGATCCTGAATACGTGCCTGATTAGTTATTACTTATTACTTTATGGTCACGATCAGCCCTATGCAATTTGATGAGATGTAATCACCCGAGCTGTTATGGGTCTAGTGCACATCGCCGCGATCATTTCGCCGTCAACTTTTTGTCTCGAGATGTATTTTTTTCGTTTGAAACCTAGCGCCGTATCTTGGTTATTTTTTAACATATGTTAGTATGATCTTCACTATTACGCATAAGGCTATTAGAAGCGCTTCATATTAAAAGTAACCCCCTTTTTAATTTTTAGATCAAATAAATCTCGATAGTATTTAATAATTAAAGAGTGGTTTTAACGCCAAAACATTTGGCTTCGTACTTCATACAAGTCCCCTCCATAGCTTGACACTGTGAAACCCCTTCCAAGGGAACTAGCCTGGAATTCGTCTGATCACTATCAATCTTTGGAAATGGTCCCTAGATCACCTATACATATATTACCCTCATAAAATTTAGTGTCAGTCGGAATGAATAGAAAAAAAGAATTTTGCTCCTAAGTAGTTGGTGGGTCATTACCTAATATTTAACGAAGTTACCCTCCCCCTTCCAAATTTCAGGAAAATTGACAAGAATAAGTAATAAAATTAAGTACCTAACCCTACGTAAATACGCCACTGTACTTACCTACTTGACCTTAAATAATACTGTACCTGATTATATTTTTTATTCTTGTATATTTTCCTACAAATTGGGGGGAATGTTACTTTGTTAAATATTAATAACCCACCAACTACTTTAGACCAAAATTCTATTTTTTGATCCATTCTGATAACACTAAATTTTATGAGTGTAGATTATAGATTATAGATGATCTAGGGATCGTTTCTAAAGATTGGTGATGATTGGACGAATTCCAGGCTAGTTCCCTCGGAAGGGATTTTACGTGGCAAACTATGGAGGGAACTTGTGTGGGGTACAAAGCCAATGTTTTAACGCCATGTTTTGGCGTTAAACCCACTCTTTAATTATTATATCCTATCGAGATTTATTTGATCTAAAAATCAGAAAGGGGGAAGGGTACTTGTAATATGAAGTGTCCCTAATAGCCCTATGTGTAATAGTGAAGATTGCACTAGCTTACGTTGAAAAATAACCAAGATGCGGCGTTAGGTTTCAAACGAAATAAAAACATTGGTGGCGAATTGCTTGACGACGAAACGCTGGTGGTGAAACGTCGGTGGCAAACGATCGCGGCGATGTGCTGGTGTTAGTGCTTTTATTGATCGAACAGGAAACTGCAATATACTAGTACTGCACTCTATCAACGACATATAAGTTTAATGTCAATGATAATAATATTATCTCATAACAAATAATTACACAATTTATTGATATTATTTATGGGCATTATTTATTATTTTTTTTAATTAGGCCTTTTTAACGATTATAGGATGTGGACTAAAAGTGGCAAAGTCTAAAACAACAAACAATTTGAGTTTTTATTTTATAAGTTAAAATTTTAAATAATGAACAGACTTAAATTTTGAATAGTATATATTTATAAAAGTAAGGTATCGTTTGAGTTAAATTACTTAACAAATAAGGTACTTTTGTTTTTATAAGTTTATAACTTTTGGCGCAATATTTGTTGTTTTAGATTTAGGCGGAGAAATTAATGTATTGGTTTTACAATGTTATAGCTGCATATTGAGTTTATCCCCGCTTAATAAATAAAATTATAAACATTAATTCCACTAAATAGTGATAAGTGTGCATCGCTATTTCCGGTCCAGTCATTAAGAGCACGGAATGTCTGTGAAGAAAGCTCCGTTGTAGTCGGCTCTTATACAATTGATAAGAAATAGGTTATTCCCACATATTTTAAGTTGCATTTGCCTAGAATAATGAGTAATTTAATATTAATTAGTTATCAAATTTTAATTGTTTTACCAAATATACCAATTTTTACTTATTATTAAACTATAATATTTGGTCGTATAATTTAGTTATAACTAGGGCTCAGAAGTTATGGACGAGTTGCATATTTGTCTGCATGTACTGAATTTATAGCAGACCAAACTAGAAAATACTTTCTATACGATGGAGAGTTTAAAAATTGAACGTTTAAAATGCATATTTTGTCAATTTTAGAGAAAAAGTATATACTTCGTAGATTTTCATTCATATTTATTATTTTTTAAAAAAATTGGTTTATTTTTTTCTTTCTTAACCAATTTATTTTAAATAATATTAAATTTAAAACTCAATATTATCTAACACAAATGTATATTTAAAATTTGTTCATGCGTAATTTAGAATTTTTTCGTGCATATTTGCATACATATTTTACCCTTTTTAGCTCCTATAACTTCCGAGCCCTAGTTATAACTAAGACCTGGATTTAAATGCACTAAAAATCATCAAAAATGTATTTACAGCAAAAATGCATTTAAAAAATTACATACATTTTTAAATTTGTATTTTATTTAAAAAAAAAAATACAGAAACTTGAAAAATTTGACTTGTGACTAGCGATTAATTGATTAGATAATTTAAAAAACAGGGGTAGTATTTTGAATTAGCTAAATTTATATTATAGAGTATCATAGTTTAAATATACCAAATATATTTAATCTATGGTCATATTAAAGAAAATGTTAAAAAATGCAAAAAAAGTAAAAATAAAAGTTTCACCTTTGAAGTGTCTGTTATATATATATATATCTTTATTAAATTATATACTTGGAGAGCAATATCTAATATCAATTAAAAAAAGATGTATTTTAAATTGTTATAAATTACTTGTGATATAAACATATTTGTGTAATTGATTTTTGAAAACCTCAATTATATCCAAATAGAAACATTTGTAGGATGACTGCTTGGCCATCCTAATCAATTGGGTTGGTAGATTTAAAACTAATGTTCCCAATCAAAATAAAGTTAGATAAATCTGTTTATTCATATAAGGTTAGTAACCGTTGAAAACATATATCAGAAATTCGTATTCAATACTCATACATAAAGTATAAATGTAACACATAAATAATTAAACTAATAAAATTAAAGGTATTAAAGTGTTTTAAAAAACAAATTTATTTTGTGGCAAATACAAACTTATTAATTGTAGGTATATATCTATATAATATGTAATGTTAGTAGCTATATATTAAAATATTTAATGAATAAAATATTTAAAATGTATTTAGTAATTCTACTGCTGGAAAAATTGTTTCTATTAACTATATTTATGGCTTTGTTAAACATAATTAAATACATTAATACTGAAAATATGCAATGAACAATATGAACAAATTACAAATTATTGATTAAAATAATGGTAATTAACATATTATAATCATGTATATAGATTAATTTGTTGATAAGTACAAATATCTACATAATCAACCCCACTAATTTCAGGATAATATACATTTTTTAATTTTTTTACTAAAATTTAAAAAAAACCAAAATTATTAAGTAACTGTATTGGGTAGGTATTACTCTTATGTTATATCCGTGTGTAAAACATATTTTATGAATTTCGATAGCGATATAACATAGTACATAAATATTAATTCACTGCGGTCTAAAAGAACAACAGAATTGTTTTATCATGCGTATTATGTAACTAGAGAACAATTCCATAGCTTGTTGGGCAACCATTGTCCATTATATCTTTAATCGTGGATTAGGATATTAGGTGCCCAAAATAACATGAACTAAGATAATCTTATATTATCTTTATTCGCGGTGCCCAAGGGGATTGCGCTGTGGACAAATTGACTGAATTTCTCTTTCACAACTATTTTTTTTTTTCATTCTCAAACTAGTTTATTTTACTGTAACTAGGAGAACGGTACATAGGTACTACATGTCATAATTGATCGAATACATTTTTTTAATTTACCGTGGTTATAAATAATTTGTATGTCCTTATTAGATTTGTATTTGTAAATATACTCAAACAAAAAATAATATTAATAATAGTACCTACTATCTAGTAGTTAAATACTATATTAATCATAGATATTAAACCATAGACATGTTAATGTCTATGACTATGTGTCAAACATAATGTATACCGCGGGCTTTCCTATAATTATGTACGTACATAAGTTTTGCTGCAAACAGAAGGTTCCGTGCGACAAAGGTACAATATATCTGTACAAATAATATAATTTTTGTATAGGAGAGATGCAGTGATATTAGTCATAGGGACTGATTACTAATTAGAGTCATTATTCATTAGACCAATAGAAATACACTGATATGTTCAATAATCAATAATAATTATTGTACATAACTGTACAATCATAGTTGATACAGCTCATAGTTGTATTGTCATCACGTTTATCGATGTTTATATCTATAGTTGTAATATAAAATTATGTTAAATGCGGTCTATGGTTCAATCACGGTTGTAAACTATTAAAGTTTTTGATTATCATTATCACAATCTTATCTACACAAAAATGTTAACGTGACGCCATATTGTTTTATATCACAAAATATTGCAAACATTAAATAAAAGTAAAAATTATCGTTTTTCTAAAATGAAGTTTTGTAAGTGTAAGTAAGGATAGTTGCATTTTTTCTCTCAATATTTTACAAAATTACTATTTATTGTATTCTAAATTAGTTTAAATTTTACCCTTGACGATATTAATAATTCAAATTTTGTAATTAATTTCTTCACTTGCCATCTGGAACAGGTATATGTTTTTATTAATAATTACTAAATGATAATAAACATATAATTTAGTTATGGATTATTATTCATATAAAGTAATTTTGTCTATTTTTTCATGGTTACAAATAAATACTTAGTATAAAAGTAAAATAGTAAAATAGTTGTTAAATGACATTTACCATCTTAATAGGTTTATTTGTGATTATTGTATAGGTAGTTAACAGTCCTAAGTAATACAATATTATAATATTACAGTTCATTTTTTTTAAATCTAGGCCTTGATAAAATTAATAAAAACATTTTTTCCTTTTTATTTAGTTTATTATTATCAAATAATATACCTTAGATACCCATAACAGTTTGAAAGTATTTTTCCAAAAATATAGGTAACTGTTCAAACAAATTATTTTAGTTATTTCTATATTATCAATAAAAAGAAATTTTGGTACAGATAATATAAAAAAATTACTTTTAATATACTTGATCTACCTAGCTATTTTGACTGTAATAAAGAAAAAACAAAATTGTATTTTATAATTTTTAGTTGGTAAATTTAACCATTTACTTTAAATTTTAGTGATTAAGAAATTGGCAGAAACTGCTAATATTTGATATCATCATAAATTTAATTTATTTGGCTATATAGAAATACATTAATACTTCAAAAGAAACTAATGAATTCATGTTAGCATTTTTAACAGTAATATCCTTCTAATGATTCAGGAGATAAATTTATTACCCTTCTCTACTCCTCCAGTCCAAACTTTAAACTGTTATAATTTATAAGCGGTAAATCTGATATTAGTATTATGTATATCAAAATTTCAAGAAAAATATTTTCTATTTAAATCTGTGTTTAAAAGGGGGAAGGGGTTCTTATTTGAAAATCAAAAGTATGTACTTATTTAAGGTATATGGAGTAGAGCTAAAAATTAAATAATCCCATAATGATTAGAAAAAACAGAAATCAAATTCACTTAAAATCTTTTGAGATAATTGCTGGTTCATGATAAAAAAAAATCATTCTGTATATATATATATATATGTTTTATTTTCAATACCATTTTAACAATTTAATATAGGTATTCAGCTAAAAAAATATAAATAATACATAGAAAAAAGTTTTATTTATTGGAAATATTTTGAAATTATGATGAAAGGAAAGAAAATCAGACCATCTAATGTCTCGTCTCCGAATCTGCTTCTTAGTTTTCCCATGTATGCAGCTGCTGTAAACGCACATTCTGGTTCAATACTATTGGAAGGAATGGACATTAGATATTTAAATGCTATTGCTAACTGATACCCTCATGAGTATTCATATTCCTTCATTCTCATACAGACTCATCTCTTGAGTAACAGTTTTTAAAAGACAATGTGATTTTTGAGATTTTCAGGATTGAGAGTTCTTAAACTTTTATTAATTTCAAGATTCAACTTTTCTTTTAACGATATTTTGATAGGTTCATCATCTTGCAGTAGTTTTCATTATTTTGAACATTTATCTGACCATTTACCCGTTTGATCGTTTTTTCACTCAACATTAAAATATTCACTAAATAATATAATATGTTTATTGTTTATATTTATTATATATATTTTTTTCTATATTATTCTACATTAAATACTCAGTCACGAAAATCCTGAAATTAGTTATTTGTTAATCCCGGGATTGTATTCTCTACTCTTAATATATAATATGAACCAAGCAATTATTTATTATTATTAATACTAAATATTTCTTTTAATAAAACATAATTGTTATATATCAATTATTTTGAAATATAAATATTATATAGTTAAACTTCTGAATAGCGGAGACTCTTAGTTACCGAAATTTTGTTCGCTATTCAGGGGGGTTAAACTTTTGAAACTATAGGGTAGATGTGTAAGAGGAAAAACATTTGTACAAGGTTAAATTAAATTACATATAATTTTATTATTTAATGTTTTCATGATATAATAATGTGTATAATAATAAAAAAAAAAGTATGTACATACATATTTAAAGAAATTATCATGTCCAAAACCTTCACTTACTAATGAATAACACAAAATATCTGCAGTTAAGACTTTGATATTTTTGTTATAATGGTCATTAGTTTTCGTAATCTTATCTTATCACCCCATAACAACTTTAATGAAAAAGATAATTATTGTTATATTAATGAGAATGTGTTTTTCTGTAGTCGTTTTGAGATTAAACATAATTTTTATTATTATTAAAACTATTTTAAATATTCCTTTCTCCTGATGTCTTTATTACGTTTCAATAATGTAAAAAGCTTCGCTTTACACAATAACTATTATTTAAACTAAAAAAGATTGAATAACATCCTAATTGTTGGAAGTCTAACTAAGGGAAATAAAGAAAGAGAAAAAATAATATACCTAACCTAATTAAAAACTTAAAAATGGTATCCAAAACTTAAAAAAAAAAAAGGGTCATAATTAATGACACAGCATGTAGTACATTATGAATATATCAATATTTAGACAAATTTAGAACTAAACAAAAAGGAATTTAGTAATTGGCAAGATATAGTATTTAAAGGAAATCAATAGTACCTTACAAACAGAAGTTTAGATAACAAATTTAGACTGACTACATGCTTACAATTAGCTTAACTAGTGAGGGTAGGTGAATAATCATTGAGTGTCAATCTATATAAAATCTAGTCAATCATCCAGAATAATTCATACTCAATCAATGGAAATCAGAGGTTTTAAAAGCTCCTCTGCCATCAATTTAGGTACATCTCAATTTAAGCTTTTTGGTTTATAACTTTTTTAGGATTTCAAAAGCATAGTGAAAAGAACTGATTTAAGAGAAATTAAATAAAGGCAACAAATTGTTGGACAGTCATGAAAATGGTGCTGTCACAAAGACAACGTGAAGAATTGTAAGTTGTAATAATCAAAGTATATTATTTCATATTGTTGATATTATACCTTTCAATTTTAATATAAAAATAAATACCTTTCATTAATTAACAATTAATTTTTTTTTTTTTAGAAATAAAGCTATAGCTGATTACCTTAGCAGTAATAGTTATCATAATGCTCTAGAAGGATTGAAAAAAGATGCAGATATGCCGGGTGAAGTTGAAAATAAATATGGAGGTTTACTCGAAAAGAAGTGGACATCAGTAATTAGACTGCAAAAAAAGGTAGATTAATTAACAATTATTGTTAATACTATTGTAAATTATAAAAAATGGTATTTGAAAAAATAATTATTTCATAATTTGATTTAAAATATAAGGTAAGTGAGCTAGAATCAAAACTTTCTGAGTATGAAAAAGAAATTAACTCTGGAGCTCCCAAAAGAGCATTACGTTCACCGAGTGATTGGATACCTAGAGCTCCTGAAACACACTGTTTAACTGGTCATAGAGAGACAATTATTAAAGTTATATTTCATCCTGTTTTCAATATTCTTGTGTCTGCAAGTGAAGACGCTACAATAAAAAGTTGGGATTATGAGACTGGTGAGTATGAGAGAACATTAAAAGGTCATACAGAAGCTATTCAAGATATTGCATTTGATGAGAGTGGTAAACTATTAGGTAATTCACTAGTAAAATAATATACATAAATATGTTTTGGTATTTAATTGTATATATTTTTGTAGTTTCTTGTAGTGCTGATATGAGCATAAAGCTGTGGGATTTCAGTCAAACATATGAATGCATCCGTACTATGCATGGTCATGAACATAGTGTATCTGGTGTTTGTTTTCTTAAAGGTGGAGATTTTATAGTTTCTTCATCTAGGGATAAAACAATTAAAATGTGGGAAGTAAATACAGGGTAAGATTATTTTATTCTGTGATTAAGTTAAATTTGTATTATTCTATATTTCTAACTGTAGATATTGTGTTAAAACATTTACTGGCCATCGTGAGTGGGTTAGAAAAGTTAAAGTTTCCCCTTGTGGACAACTTTTAGCCTCATGTTCTAATGATCATACTGTAAAAGTTTGGATAATTGCTGCAACACAGTGTAAAGTAAGATAGATGATAGATTTTTATAAATAAAATCATATAACTAATTGGTATTCATTTTGAAAAGGCTGATTTACGAGGACATGAACATGTAGTTGAATGTATTGCTTGGGCACCAGCTGCAGCATCATCAGCAATTAATGAAGGAGCTGGAGTAGATCAGAAAAAAAATGGTTATGAAGGTCCTTTTATTATATCTGGTTCAAGAGATAAGTCTATTAAGGTATGTATTACATTTTTCTATTTTAAATAGATGTTTATTAAAGTTTTTTTTTATTAGATGTGGGATGTTGCATCACGTTCATGTTTGTTTACTATGATTGGACATGATAATTGGGTGCGAGGTTTAGTTTTTCATCCTGGTGGTAAATATGTTTTATCTGCAAGTGATGATAAAACACTAAGAATTTGGGATTTGGCAAATAAACGTAATATGAAAACTCTACTAGCCCATGGACATTTTTGTACAACAGTTGGTTAGTAATATAGTTTAATTTTTAGTAGATTTTATATAATAATTTATATTTTTATTTCAGATTTTCATAGATCCCAACCATTTGTAATAACAGGTAGTGTAGATAAGACCATAAAAGTTTGGGACTGCCGTTAATATTTATGTTTCATCAATTTTCATAATGTTCATAATATAATGCGCTCTACTCTGCTAATTTTAAACCATATCTCCACTATAATAACACAAATGAAGTTTTAATTTTCTAGTCTATCATAGAATTGTAGGTAGTCTCCCAGGTTTATATGTAAAAATGTAGCACCGCTTTTTTTAATTTTTAAAGAAACTCCTTTGCTGTGTGTGTTATAAGTATTTGTAATTTTTATTATTTTTCTCATAATTAGTTTATAATAATGTAATAGGTTTTAAATAAAATAATTATTTTATTTGCATATTGGCTTTTCGTTTATGACGATATATCTTTTTGTTAAAATACGCAATATTTTAATTGAGAGTTTTAAATTATATTTTTTTTTTTCAAAAATGCCTTGAGTTTTGGATTCAACTGAATTCAGTTTGATTTGTTATATTAAACTTATTATTATTAATATATTTCTTTTATAATTAGGAAATTATTAATGTATTGGCATTATATATAAGAGCTGCTGCATTTAAGGTACTAAGTATATTTTATTCATTCAATAAGAACTGTTTTCTTACATTTTTTTAAACAATCATCTAATATCATTTTAAATTATATAGCCTTTAAAAAAACTAAATTGTACCTTTTGTTCATGGATTTTTTTTTTTTAACGTTATTAGTATACAAATATCCTATAATTATAATAGTATTATGTTCAATTTTTATATATTATTTTTCATGAAAACTATTTGAATATTTTAGTAAATTTTATCTACATATTTTATTTTTTAAAATATATTAGCTTTATAAAGCACAGTGAGGTTTATATATTTTTACTAATCATTGTTACTTCCTTTAATTAGCTGCACCAAGGATTTGTCACTGTAGCAAATTTATTTTTAAAATATACTCAGTAGTTTTTTTTTTAATTATGTCAATCAACCTTTGTGACTGTATAATATACATCTTGGGTTTTCTGGCCATCAAGACCATTCCATCACACATATACATTATAAAAACAAGATAAAATATGTACAATGATAGATCAGAAATTTCAACACCAAAATGTATTTAAACATTTTTAATAATCGCTGCCATTTGAAAAACAAAAGTAGATAGTTGGTTCACTACCAAAAATAAGGGTGACAAAAATGATGGTAACATTTTAGAGCTACTTGTTTCCTAATTTATCAAAAAAAAGTTAACTTTTCAATAATTATGTCTTCAAATATAGATTAAATATACTATATTCCATGCTTAGTAGAACACCCTGCATTAACCATTTGTTACATTTTGAAATAAAATCAAAAATCTGAAAAGAAGTAGGAGGTAATTTTTTATATTATTTTAATTTTCAATAACTTGTAAATTAAATAAACAGTATATTTTAGGCAAATTACAAAAATACAAAAAATGTACAATTAACAACTAATGTAAATTATTTAAACTTTTATTAAACCTCTTAACCAGATTTTGAATATCTTCTTCTTCTAAATATTCTGCATTCACAATAGCACTTCCTATGGCAATTGTTGCACGTATAGAACCACTATTAATCCAAATTTTTCCATTTGCTCCAACAACAATTTCATAGGGAACAAATTGTCCAAGACTAAAGAGTAAACTTGAACTGGATTTTTTTAGTTTTAAAGCATAATTCACACTAACAGTAATCACAAAACCATTTTCTAACTGACCTAAAATTAGACTGTTAGCATATTCTACACAACTGATTGAAGATTCCATGTATGGGGTTGCTATTTTAACCTTTGCAGCTAAAACATTTCCCACTTTAAGATCAGGTCTATTTTTCTTTGTAACATTTGTAAATGCTAAGTTTGGAAGTGTGGCTAATTCAGCAGCGCCAATATCAACTTTATACACTTCAGATGTTTTAGAAGATACAATTCCAACAACCACATCATCTTTAGTTGGTATGTATTTCTTCTTATAATATTCTACCCAAAAATACTTATCATCTTTACATCTTAATACTCCACTATTACATACAATGATTTTATTATCCATAGTCTTCAACCCTGGGCCAATTGTTTTTTCATTTCGTTTACAAATATCTCCTTTAAAAATTATATGAGAGATATCAGTGCCAGGTAAAACAACATTATTAAATTCCGCTGTAGTCATTTTTGAATGAAACACTAGAATAAAATTACATACAAGAATGCAATATAAGTTAAATATTAATATTTTAATACTTACAAACTTCACCCTAAATAGGAAGGAATAATTTGTTTAATTATTTATATGTATTTTTTCTTTAGTATACTTTTAATGAATAATGCGCATGCACTTAGTTGGCTTTAGAGACGATGGCAATTATTACTGATACCAAGTCGTTTGGAATGGAGTTCAATAGTGCTCGGACAACAATAGGCATGGATAATATAAATAAGACATCCGTTTACGTATACCTTATACATGATATAATGTAAGCGACGTCAGGTCTACTTGTTATCAGAATGGTTATATGCGGTTACAGATACTGGTTTATGATAAACTACTTTTTTATCAATCTGTTTGTACTGTTGTACTTACCTAATTGCCTTTGAATAATATTATTTTCCGAAATGGTTATTTTGGTGATTACCAGGTGGCCGGTAGTTGGCAAGGTTTATAGATAATAGAAGTTGCCTCACCGTCGTGTAAACAATACGAACCCCCCGCTTCATTCCTCGCCAAGTGACGTCATTGCAGTACACCAAGACCATCGATCATACGGTAGCTGTACAAAATATACAATATGCTTGCCACCGTATATTTATTTATTTTCATTGGTGGTTTCGATTTTAGTACCTACTAAAATGCTTAATCACTGTATGGCTAGGATCTTAATGCTCTAAGTGTAGATTATATGAATAAAGTTATATTTATAAAAAAGACAAATATACTTTAAATACTGTAGGAATGTATATTAAACTTGTTTTTAAATAGTTGACAAAAGTAGAAAATGTAATACCTGTTCTAAACTCAATATTTTCCATTGTATTTATTTAAATAGTTCCTAAAATTATAATAATTTTACTAAATAAATTTGAATAATTAATATTTTAATAAAAACATTTCATAAATACAAAATATGTAATTATTTTTATTTAATAATACCTACTTAATAAACAAGTCAAAAGTTATATTTTTAAGTCATAAGTTTTCTTAGATTTGAAGTTTTTGTAATTGTAATTTAGCTTTCCTTTTTGCAACTAAAATTTGTTGATTTTTATTTGCATACTTCATACGAATAAAGATCCTTTGCCTTACAAATTTTTGTATAACTGGTCTATACTTTTCTTCAATATTCATTCTATTCATTATTTTATGTAAAAATTGCTTTACTACCTGGTCTTTTAGGGATTTTCTGCTTGGTAATTTATTTAAAAATTCTTTTAGCTCTTAAAATGTGTTTTTAAAGTCATTACTAGGGACTATCAGGCCACCATATGATAAACAATGGAAAACTGAATTCATCAATATAAGTCATCTACAAGATGATACAGTACATCACAAGACGTATGAAATCATTACAATTTATTCCTATGAAATAATACATCAGTCCTTCCAGCTTTTTTTATTTTTCCAAAGTATTTTCCAATTCAACAACTTGAACCTCCTCTCGTACTCATGATTTAAAAATTCAATATAATAACATTAAAAACAGTTGAAAATGTAAAAAACACGCGAGAATACGGAGAATAGTATTGCAACTTATTACGGTGGCATGTACCGTGTACTGCAGTGACGTCACTGTCGGATTTCCCCCACTGCTTATTTTTCATAAATTCGACGGTGATGCGACCTCTATTATCTATAAACCTTGGGTAGTCGGTTTTCGTTATCACCTAGTTGATAACACACCTTAATTAAATGTAACCACTAACCAGTATGCTCTTCGATCACGAATTAAGATATATAAGGTATATCTGAAAATAATATGTATTTTTATTTTATAAGTCGTTTCACACTATGGTATCTAGCGTACACCATAAACTAGACAGTAGTGGTGAATATTATCACCAATAATCATAATATAAAATCGTGATTGTGATTTTTGATAGTGTGTAAGTATGATATCGGCTTTGGTTTGATAAAATGCTGACCAATTAGGAACGGGATCTGTGTGAGTGTGACTGTTGTGAACACGAATTAAGATATATCGTATATCTTAATTGTGGTTGTGATAGATAGGCATCTGTTGTGTTATTTCTCATAATATTGAGAATGGCGCTCCTGGTGGCCAATATAATGGTTAAATCATCAGCAGGTTTAAAAATCGTGGATCGTGGATGTTATTATGGCACTTTGGTAGTGTTAGTACTTGTTTGTTTTGTCAACATTACGATCAAAGCATTATTTAAGATTTGTAAGATTATCAAATACTAAAAGTCTATGACAGTCCCCAGAAACTTCAACCTCGGATCTCAAATGATGTCATAGTTTCAATCACCATAATCTTAACATAGTTAATAATTAGGGTTGTCTATACTATGCATTAAATAAGAATTATTTGACAATTGACATTTTATGTAGGTATTTCATATTTTAACATTTATTCATTCAATATGAGTCGTGGAGGGAAATCGAAAAATGCCTACCTTCCTGGGGAGTTGGTGGCGTTGGGTTCTAAAAGTAGCCGCGTCGAACCGAATCCACAAGAAAAACGTGGTAGTAATATTTTATTACATAGAAAGCTGATGGAATCTGGTGAGTTCTTGATTGATATTTTATTAGTAGGTATTGGATACTTATAACAATGATACAATTGCAATATACCTGACACCGTTTTTAGATACAGAACGTAATGAAGAATATATTGGTTGTACAATGATATTTATTTATTTATTTTTTTATCTGTGATCAACCAGAAATCTTGCTCAGATTTTCAAGTGTAGTACCTTTTCTGAAAAGAAATTTTTTATCTGAGCTGTATTATAGTGTGGTCATTTTTTGATTTGCCAAGAAGTTTTCATAATAAATGTGAAAAACAAAAAATACACTTACATTTATAAAAAAAACTTCACTCCTAATCATTTTTCATTAGCTTACAAACATAAATTAAATTACTCTCTAATCCTACCTAACTCCTAAATCCTAACTTCTCACCTACCACAGTGACCAACCCATTGTGCATTTTTTTTTATTATTTATGTTCATTTGGTATGTAATAGATATAATTTAATGCATTTAATTTAAGACTACAATTTGATATTTTTTGATACATTCTCATTCTGGATTTTAGTTGTAATGTAAATAGTAAAGTTTATATACCTGAATTTATAAATTATTATTAATATTGATTTTATTAGTTTGTGAATACTTCTGGATTTTGATTTTACTTTATTTTATTTTTATTTTTGATGTATACATAGATAGGTACATATAGTATATATATAAAAAAAGATTAAAACACAAGTATCTATATAGTATGATATATAACACTTTATATTATATCCATAATTAAAATAAGCAGCAATCCAATGGCAAAAATTTAAATGTTTATTTATTTTTTGAATTTTTTTTTTGTTACCGTGTTATTCTGTATAACTTGTTATCCTGTAAAATACTCTTGGTAGAATCTCTAACTGCGAATTATATTTTAACTTAAAGGTGAAATATGACTGAATTTGAACTGCATTACAGTACACTAATGACCCAAATTAAACTTAGTCTAAATGTAAATTAGACTTATATTTTATTAATCTTATGTTTTGAAACTTGTTATTATAAAATTATAAAAATATATTCTGTACTAAATTAAAGAAATATATGAGATGGTAGAATGGTCATTTAATTAATTTTATTAGATTAATGTAATAACCAGTACATTGTTAAACAGGTAACATTAATCAAACATTATTTTAACAGACTATACAAAAATGTATTGTTATTGTTTTATCATCAAATGCTATTTTTAGATGCATTAATGTAAAGTTATATACAATTATTAATTATATTAATATTTTTTAATCATTTTAAATTTAGATAGAAAACGTGCTGGACCTCCTTTAGCAGTGCCTATTGTTAGTAAAAAGCCTAAACATCATGGAGGCTCTAGTCATAGTTCATTTGCTTGGGAACAGATGTGTATTGAAGTTGATACCATTGATTTGATTGATGCATTGAACTATTCCATTCAAAATCAAGAAAATTTAAAAGCTGTAGGTTTACAAATTTAAAATTATTTCTGTATAGTAAATTGGTTAATTTGTAAACTGATATTTAGTAGTGTAAATTTTAGTTTTTCCTTTAAATTAAATTAATTTATTTTTTATATTTGCTATAGAACTTAATTTTTTTAAACCTAATCATGAACTATAAGGTTTATTTTTTTAAATATTAAACAGTCTTATCCATCTATAATTTTTAATCATTATGTTTGATTGTATTTTTTAGATCGGAATACTTCTTGGAGCTTTTAGAATTATGCATACTCAACGAATAAAACCAGATTTGTTTTGGAGTCTATCAGTTGCTTCTCGTCAATTTCCTACATTATTTCATAATGAAGAAATTATTAATGCATTATGCTCTATCCTAACATGTCATTCAATTGCTTCTACTAAACAGCGGCATTACAATATAGTGTCTGCAATAACATCTGTTAACTTATTATTGGCTTCACATGATAAATTAAATAATTGGCCTGAAGCATTTGTTAAGGTATGATACATATATATATATATATATATATGTATATATGATTATTATGGGTTAAACAAATATATATTTATTAATTATTCACGTATTTCAAGGTTTTTATTGAAGATTCAATGGGCGAACGTTTATGGGTAGATAATGAAGAGTGTCGATATTTTATTGAAAACATAAAAGTCAGTTTTAATACTCGTCCTTTACCTTTTATTCCTATTGATTATTTGGATACAACGAGTACAACAGAAGCTGTGTTACCTTCTCCAGAACCTAATGAAATATCTATTATGTCAAGATATGGAGCAAATCAATTGACAATTGATAATTTAATTTTAGATGTTGCTAAAGAATATTTAGTCCGAAAACAATCTACTGAAGGGATATCCAGGAATTTGCTTAAATTATTATCTGCAGCTGCTGGAATTTTAGAAGTTAGTTTAAATTGAAAAAAAATAAATAAATTACTATTAAAATTAAAATTTTAGATTCGAGTGATGGTTGCTGGTAAATTAGAGGTCTGGTTACAAAATGCTAAACTTGTTCGGCCAGCTCAAGAATTACTTTTAGCTATTTGTGTTAACTGTACTTCCCGCAGTCAAAGAGACTTTGATGTTATATCTACTATTGTCAAAATGAGATTAAAAACAAAATCTATAGGCAACTTTTATATATCATGCATCAAGTAAGTATTTCCAAGCCTACAATTTAAATTAAGGAATTAACTAAAATGTAGTATAAACACTAATAAATTTGCATAGGTATATTTTATTTTACAACTGAAAAGTCTAATATTTCTAATATTATTCGAAAATTCAATCAATAATAGTTTAATATTATTATTTATAAATTATGATTTTAAAATATACATGCTTTATGTATTTGAATGCATATACATAAATTAACTCCCAAAGTAAAAATAATTTTTATTCAATTTTTTTTTCTCAATAAATATTTAAAAAAATTACTTAGTTTAAGTATTTTATATGCATTAATGTGTATTTATCTTGTATGAACAATTGGAATTAATAATAAAATCTGTTTCCTTATTATAATTTATAATCGTCTAATAAGAATTTAAATTAAAGAACAAATAAACTTTTGGCATTGCATAATCTTAGTGAATACTAATATTAAATCCTTTTTGGCAACAATAACACAAAATGTATATTATATATCTTTTAGAGAACTAATTACAGCAAATTCATATAATTTACCAGTAATTTTGAAAAATGTTGTTTATAATGAAATGTCTACATCACGGAATACAAGTAATATGGCAATTTTTCAAGTTATTTTTAAATCCGAGCCAGATCAAAGTGCACTACTTTTAGCTGACATTTTTCAAGTTTGCTTTTTTAAATAGTTTTTACATTTTGAATAATTTTCTTAACTGATAATTTCAATTCATATTTAGGAATTATTAATATTACGCGATGACTATTTAAGGCCATTACGTGGACTTCTACGGGAAATTTCACGTCAAGTTCGTTCTGATTTTAACTTTTTGACCTTTTCTCAAGGACTCATGGGTACCAAAGATCTATTAAATCAAACTCCTGAAGTTAAGGATAGAGTTTTTGCTGGAGTCGTAGACCTTTTAACACTGTGTATATTTCTAACTGTTTATCCATATATACGTTCTGAGAGAAAAGATATTTTACAGGTATTTAAATAAAAATATTTGAAAAATAGTTTTATTTATCATTTTCTTAAATATAAAAATAACATAATGTTTATTTTATAGTTTGAAAAAGTACAACATATTATATCAAAAATTCAAAAAAAAGGAGTTGTATGGCTTCAAGAAATGGCTATAAGAATCTATCGACCTTCACCAACTGATTTTGTTCATGCACTACATAAAGTATACATTTTAATTTGTATTTTTATAAATTCTACAAATTTAATATTAACAATAATTTTTATATTAATAATTTGTTGTCGTTAGATATTATTAATGGAATCATCTGAGCATTATTATAAATTAGAAAGTTGGCCTCCAGAACAGGATAGAGGTATTATATTTAGAACTGCTACAGAAGTGCCATTGTTACAAGGTACAGTTATGACAATACTTAAGATTGGATTGTCAAAAGAACATCCTTTAAATTCTCCAGATGCTTTAGAGTTAGTAGATCAATTAGTGAAGCGTGCTGCTTCATTACAAGTATACCAAAATTTTAACACAATTAAAGGTAATAGTCAATAAAAAATATATTTAAAATTAATCTAATTTTAATTTTATTTTGTACACAAATTTTAGCTGACAAATGTGAATTGTTTGAAATATTATTAAATTCATGTGCATATCATCATCCAGATAAAATTGAATTGCCACTAGGCTATACACCACCACAATTAGCAATATCTAACTTGTACTGGAAAACATGGTTAATAATGTTAATATATTGTGCTCATATACCTTCAGTTTTTGGAACTCTGGCCTGTAGAAAATATCCTATGTTGAGAATATTTATCGAGATGTGTATAACCAACAATTTTTCTTTTCCTACATTCTTGGAAGATCTTCAGTTACAATCAGTTGAAAAACAAAAGATACTTGAATTTGAATCTTATTTAGCTGCAGCTTCTACAAAAATTACAATTACCGAACAGACAAGCTTATTGTTGAGTCAACTTATGGGTATGGATCCTATTGGTCCACCTAGGCGTCCACCAACTTCTATTTTGGATCAACTGAGAGTCATGAATACAAACTTTCGTATTGGACACTTATTATGCAGGTCAAGAGATCCAGATTTTCTTTTAGATATTATTCAACGCCAAGGTACCTCACAATCAATGCCTTGGCTTAATGATTTAGTAAATTCATCAGAAGGATCATTAAAGTAAATATTTACACATTTATATTATTTATAGCTAAGTATAAGAGATAATTTTCTATTATAAACTATACTCCGGCCCACAAAAGTACATTGCTACGTCCCAACCTTGTATAAACACTTCCATCTCAAACTCGCAAACCATCAAAATCCCCATATCTGGGAACTCTTCTCTTAATATTCCTGGTGACCCTGGTAGGGATTTGAAATGTAACCAGTATTGAGACCTACTTGCTGATTTACTACAGTCAAACACATCATGAAGTTCTATTAATGAATTGTGTTTTTTATCAAGTCCATTTACTTACAATTTTAAGATGTAAACTATAATTATTCTAGTCATCTAATGTTGAAAGTATTGTTAAATATATATATGTATAAAAATATCAAACAATATTGAAAGTCACAAATGAAGTTTAATGTTTTTTATTTTTTGTGTCTTAAATTTAGAAATATCTTGGAATACATTTTTAAATTAACTAAAGTTGTTAAATAATTTTGTTTCTAGTAATTTACCAGTTAAATGTTTGTGCGAATTTTTATTAAGTCCAAGTTGTCGACAACAAGGTAAATTTAATCAATTACTGAATCATCTGAGAAAGTTGTTAATGCATCCAGAAACTGATCCTACAATAAGTTGTGAAGTTTTAGAACACTTTTTGAAGCGTCTAAGTTCTCCTACTAGTAGACAACATGCCATTTCGGTAAGTTAAGTAACACAGTTATTAAAAAGTGAGATCAACATAAATTGAATGTGATTTATTTTATTTATATTTTAAAAATGTTACATACTTTTTTTTTTATATTTAAATTTGTTAAAAAAACAAAAACTAAGTAACAATTAGTGGTAAAAATTTATGTCTACACAACTTTTATTATTTCCAGAATAAGCTTTTTCTTTTTCATTATCTTCTGTATAAACCCTAATTATTCAATTTAAATTATCAAATAAATTTCTTGTCATTTCCAACTGGCAAAATCATGCCAATTGTTTTCCATTCTCAAATTTTTCACATTGCTCAATTCTTAATTCTTCCACTTCATACGTGGTCAACTCAAAGGATCTTTCTTAAAATTGATTTTATTGAGATTTCCATAATGTCTTGTTTCACATTCATTCATAACTATTATACAGTAAAACAGAATCTTTAAATTTCTTTATAACACCTTTATCCTTTGTAATTTAAATAAGTACCTATTCCATAATTAAATTATTATCTTTATTTAAACTAATTTCTCATTGTTTTGTATCAAAACCAAATCAAAATACTTTTTCACTTTCTTGAACATGTAGGCACCCACCATTAGACATGTGTGTGTGATCTGAAATTTGTCATTACCATTTTAGCTCCATTTATCTCCTACTGCATGTAGTAGTTTTTTTGTCTATTCTATAAGACTTCTAATCTTAAATCTCAGCTTGTTAATTCTAATCTTGTCTAAAAAATAACTTTATCATATACATAAACCAATACTCCAAACATTGGGTTGACAATTCATAATATATGGCTGTCACAAGCTACTTTCTGTAATGATTTGTTGAATAATATATGAAGACTAAATCCTCTTGTTTATATCCACTTTATCATCACTTGAGTTCCTCGTGATATTATATTGCCGATTTTAATCTTGATATCTGTATAAAGAATACTTGTCGTTAAATTTAAATGGTTAATTTTTGATTAGTAACTAAGCTTTCAAATTTTGATTTGTATTTTTAATAATAAAATATGCTTTATAAATAATTTGGTATTCTTCATACAATTATTATATACACATAATAAATATATTTAATAAAAAAACTAAGGGCCATAGAAGTTGGAAGTTATTGTAATTTGATTAATAAAAATATGAAATTATTATGTTTGGTAACACCACTTATAAATAATTTACTAATTTAATGGTATTGTTAATCTTATTCTACATAATTTTAATTATTTAACTGTCTAAAGTTACTATTTATTATGATTTTTAAGGGTTTAAAATTACTTTTAAATGCCGCTGATGATAAGATAATTGATGTTGATAAAGTAATTGAATCAAAAAATGATGTTTCATGGTTATTAACCAGTTTACCACAACTTCCAAATTTTCCTGCATTTAAATCTCAGGTGAGTTTTATTAGCTGTTCAATTTTAATTTCAAATAATTTATTTTTTAATGATCTTATAAATATTTAAAATAAATTATTTTATAGATAGTTATTTTTTTGCGACAAGCATGTCAAGTAGAAAATGACCCACATTTAATAACAGCCTATTTAACTTTTTTGGCTGAACGAACATCTGATGAAGACAGAGTGGATAGTATAACAAATGAACAGCTTACTGATATGGTACTTGATATGGCACAATTAATTGTTGAAAGAAGTACAGTTATGGCTGTAGTATTACCCTTATCAACAGATACAGTTACAGTTTTTAATGTTGCACTTGACTCTTTAGTCAACATATTTTATACTTTTTTATGCAGGGTAAATATACATGGTATATATGTATGTATATTTGCTTAACATATAAATTTGTATTTCTATTTTTTATTGATTGTAGGCTAGAGAACCTTTTCGTCAAAATCATCCTTGGTCAGAAAATCAAGATCAAATTCTTGTAACATGGCCTGGTGGTTCTGAGTGTACTTTACATATTCTAGTTGTACATGCTATGATTATATTGTTGACTTATGGTCCTCAGTGTATTCACGAATCAATTAAATTTGATCATTTGTTGGAAGCATGGTTTCCAACAGATAGGAAACAAATGCCTAAAGTAATTTAATATTTTAATATTTTTTCATTGTTTATTAATTATAAACAATTTCTGATAGGCATATCTTATTGATACATCTGAAGAAGCTCTACTTATACCTGATTGGCTTAAACTGCGTATGATCAGGTCTAGGGTTCCTAGACTTGTAGAAGAAGCATTAACTGATCTTGAACCACCCCAGCTAATATTATTTATTCAATCATTTGGTATACCAGTTGCGTCAATGAGGTGAATTTAATATTTAATGAAATTTAAAAAAAAATTTCAGTAAAAAAATTAATAATTTACTTAAACAGCAAATTATTGGAAATATTGGATAAAGCTGTGTGCCATGATTCAGAAGCCATTAAAGCAGCTGTTATGGATAAAGCATATATGGTGCAACTTGTTCAAGTACAACAGAGACGTGGTGCTCAAGGAGGTCAAATATTTTCATCGGTATTAACTTTAAACGAAGAACCAATGGTATTATATGTAGAGGATAAAGTTCAATCATCAGATAAAATACAATTACCAAAAAAAGGTATCTTATTCAATAAAATATACTTCATAAATTATATCTTAAATCTTAATATTAATATCATATTTCAGTGAAGCCAAAGCCTTTAATAGAAACTAGTAAGAATTTAAATGTTGATTTAATCATTAGGAAAATGTTTACTTCAAAAATGGAGGGTGATGAATTCTTATCTATATTACAGGTGAATAAAATAATAATATGTTGTTTAACTTGAAATGTAATTTAATTTATTTTTTGCAGTTATTATCACAAGACACAAAAAAAAGAGGTCTACAATTTATGTTAAAATTCTTAAAAGATATATCAAAAAGTAAAGAATTTTTATGCTGTATTGTAGCAAAAGAAAATGTATCTTGCCATTTATTGAAAGTGTTAATGATGAAGTTTGGCTATAATGAACTATTGATGTGTATTGTTAAATTAATGTTTACTCAAGTTAATGGGAAAAAAAACTTGTATATGACCATCACAAATTATTTAAATAAATATGGTTTGTTTATATTTTTTTTGTCTTTGGTGTTAAATTAAAACATTGGGTTTATATTGTGTAATTATAATTTTGATTTAGAGTTAACTAAGCAAAATGTGCCTCAGAAAATAAAAAAAGATTACAAAACAAATGCTATGGAAATAGATATGTCAAAAGGTCAAAAGCGTTCACTTTTTGTTGATCTACCAAAAGAAATTGAATTGAAAATATCAGATTCAACAATTGACCAACAAGTATGAATATATTATTTTAAAATTATACGTTTAACTATTATCTATTTTATTAATTTTCAGGTAAATATGTTGTTTTCAAAAACAGTTGATGAGAGATGGGAATCTGTTAGAAATTGCAGACCATATTTACTAACTTTATTAAATCATCACATGAATTGGTCTTCACTGGAGTGTGTTTTAGACATTATATTAGAGCTGAGTAATGTTGAAAAGTTAGTTATTAAATATTAATTTATTGTGATTTTTAATTAACAGTTATATTTTTTATTTTTAACATATTAATTAGTTTATATTTAAATAAAACATTATTCGCTTACTTAATTAAATTGCAAAAGTAAAAATTAAAACATTTTTAACTACTTATTATTATTTTAGATTTGAGCCGTCTTCAGTTCTAGACTTAATATCAGCTATCACCACAAACCCAAAATTATGGCAAGGCAGAGAAATGAATGCATCTAAAAGTAGATCAAGAGAAGGATTAATGTCATTAAACAATGATCAAGTAATATTATTTTTTTTAAATAATTGTGCTAACATTTTTCATTGATCAATTCAATTTTCTGGGGAAAAAATTGAGTAAATATGAAAAACGTGGTAGTGTTTTGATTTAAGTTGTGTTCAAATGGTTGTTAATTATAAAATACCAACTTTTTTCCTTATGAACGCAAGAAAATGGTTCTAGAGTAAGCTTAAGATAAAAAAAAGTCTGGCTTTGATAAACTAAAATATTTGGCTTTTCTACAAAGATACTTTTGAATCATTTTAAATCAAAATAGTCAATGAATGAAACAAAGAAGTTTATATTTCGCAATAAATATTTGTGTTTTTTTAAAAGCTTACTGCATTGCTGTTGTATGTGATTGAAGAGTGTAAATTAAAACATGAAGATCCAAATATAACTTGGACAGAGCTATCTGCATTTATGTCAACGAAGTTATCAGTAATATTGAAAAATTATGTAGTAAGAAATGATTGTGTAAAAATTTTCCACAATATTTATATGAAATACATCAATAGGTAATTTAATTTAAATTCATCAGTAAAGTTTTGAATAATAGTAATTAATAATTTTACTTAATTATTTAATGGTTTTTCAGTTCAAATATTACAGTTTTCAAACAGATTTTAAGTTTAGTGTATACCAATGATCCAAATATCATTAGTAAACTACAGTATTATGACATGGATGGTTTCTTAGATCCAATTATTATTAAAGGTATACATAAACAGTACATTTATAATTTATTAAATAATGTAAATAAATTGTTTTTAAATCTGTTAGAAAGTGAAGGATGTGTTTTGGATTCAATTTCGCATACTGTTGTTTCATCTATTGTGTCCACTAAGATTAAAAGAGACAAAGAATTGAACAAAAAGATTTATGATTATGAAATATTAGCAAAGAGATTATGTACAACTCACCCTCTTCTTTTCCTAAGGTAATATTCCAAGTTTATTTAAATTTTATTTATTTATTTAAAAAAAAAAAAAACATTTATATTTTTATAACAAGTATTAAAATTAAAATTTAATTACACCTTTATTTATTTTTATTTTAGGGTATTTGAACTTTTATCAGCTCCATTGCGTCGTTGTTGTTATTTAGAATTTAAAGCTATGAAATCTGGCCATATTTTGTTACTCAATAATATTCTCGATTTAATAGAAAGTTTAGAGCCTACAGTGTACTTACCATTTTATACTGATGCACTACATAAACTGTTGGGCATTTTTCTTACAATTATTAGTGTAAGAATTTTATTATACTGTATAGAATGTAATTTTTTTATTATTATAATTGTTTTTTTTATATATTCAGAACAATTTAAATAATGTGAGTACTTCAAGGAAAGAATTTAATACACTCTTAACAAAATTTGGTAATCGTGTACACAGTTATATGGCTGAAAATTCACCAGATGCTATGGTGTTTATTAAATCAAACATTATTTGGTTTGGGTAAATATAATTTTATTATCTAGCATGAACAAATATAACTAAATGTATGCTTCTTTCCAGTAATATCATTGAAAGATACAAAGCTATGGGAAATTTGAATTTATTAATAAGCCAAAATGATCAAGTGATTGTTTTACAACCAACTAATGAAATATCAAGCGAATTGCCATATGATAACTTCTTTAGTTGTTTTAAAGATATTGGTAATTGAATTATATTATTTTTACTATATACATTTATTTATAAACATTTTAAACAAATTTGATTACTACGGGATCATTTAATACTTCTATTTATAAGTTTTAATTTTTTTTTTAATATTGTATGCAACTCAATCCAGCAAGTAAACTTTTGATTTACCAACGGTAACCCAAAAATTAAAAAAAAAAAATTGTATTCTATTAATGTATTTATTTTATTAATATTTTTGGGGGGGTATAAATAAAACTGTTTAATGTATTATTTTTGGAATTTTAAAATTATTTTCTTTTTTTTCATGTAATTTATATTTTACTTATTAATAATAATGTTTGATAAGTAATTAACCTTATACAAGTTAATCGTAATAAAATGATACATTCATATGTTGTAAAGAAATAACATTTTTAAAAGATCAATTGATGGTTTGTGATCAAAACAATTGTCTTACTAATGTCTTATTGTTTTATTTCAGATTCTGCAAATAATTTATTAGCAGACATGGAACGTTCTGCATATCGAAGTAATCGAGCTTTAGAACCATTCTTAAATAAAGTCACATCTTTGATCAGAAATCCTAGTTCACATTTACGTCTTCCATCTCTTGGATTATTATTGCATTACTTACAGTTTAATAATAGTAATTCTTCTACTAATTCTGTGTTAATACCAGCTATACTAAGTGCTTTGTTGTCTGATGATGATGAAGTTTCAAGTACAATAAGAAACCATATTGATTCATTGTCTATGTCAAGAGGTAATTTTTTTGTAAAACTTGAATTTATATCTGGGTTTTTTCTTTTGTTACCTGTCTTCTACTGACAATTATTACTCAACTTTTTTTTTGATTTATCTCCAAATTATTTTAATATTAATTTTTGTTTTATTTTTAGAAATGGCATTGTCTTTGTTACTGGAAACTTTTAATGTTGGCATATATAAGAGCCTGAACACAACTACTATGATAACAAAAACTATTTCTACAATGAATTTACAATCTGGATGTTGAATTTATGTAGTGTAGATATATTTTAAAAATTTGCTGAACTAAATAAACAATTTAAATTTTTTAAATTTTGTGTATAACCATTCATATTAAAATAATAAATACCATTTACAAAACCTCACAGTATCTAGAAAAATACTGAACTAATTCTGTTTATAATGTAAGTTAAAGAAATATAAAAACTCAATTGAATTTATTATAGAGAAGTAACTTGTTCTAGAACTACTTTTCTGAATATTAAATCCATACCCAAGTAATATTTTTATTTTATCAAAAAAAAAATGTTTAATTATTTATATATATTTATGTTTATTGTATAATCATATTTGTTCATTGTCATTATTTAGTTAGCAGTTATATAAATTATAAAATAAAATAATTTGGCTTACACTTGAAAACCAAATAGCAACAGTATCAATCTAAACTTTTACAAACTAAAATATTAAATATTCAGTATTGTGTGTAATCATTATTAAGCTTGTTTTAATAGAATATTATTTATTTTGTAAGTTACTTATGAGTTGGAATGCTATTTTAGTGTATCTATTAGATTTAAATTATAGTTCATCTTGCATTAAATATGACAATTTCCATGAATTAAGTATAGGCACATATGCTAATATTGTTTCATCCTACCAATATGCAATCGGCTGTTGGAAAATTCCATAGGTTTTTACAAATATTAACTATCTAATTTCTGTTAATTATGCATAAATTATTCTATCGCAGAAAAATAACTTATTATTTAATTGTTTAACGGTATGTAGATCTGTTTAAGCCACACATTGATTAATATACATAATCAATATTCATAGTAATTTAACTTGCCATTATTAAATAAGTTGAAATTGAATGTTGTATACTCTAATGATGTATATCAAAATTAAGCTCCATACAAAAAATATATTTTTTTTTTTTTTTTTACTGAATCATAACACAAATTATACATTTTCATAAATATTTATTATTTGTATAGCTATATAAATATATGTTCTACAGTTGGAAATATATACTTAATATTAGTAATATAGTTATAAGTTTATTAAACATAATTTAATGGTTAGTAAATTAAAATTATTTATGACAACATAATTTCTAAACAATAATCGGGTTTTCCATGAATTAAATTTTAGTGATATATTTTATTTATACATTTTAAATTGTAGGATAAATAATAAAATACTTGTTGACACACACATGATATATTTTAAGATATTAATCATAACATATTTTGATTGTCAAAGTGAAATAATAAAAATAAACATAATTGACTTAATTGTTACAGGATAAGGTAACTTATGATAGTATGAAATTATGTAATGTGAATTATAATACAATACATAATTATTATTTAACTAGTGTATTATAATATTTACCAGAAATTAGTATTTAGTTTGAAAACTGTGTTTAAATAAAATATTTATCAGACACAAACGCTTTACTTTTATTGAATATTAAAAAAAGGAAAATATAACTGCAAATTGTATAAACTTTTAACATTTAAGTTAAATAATATGCAGCCAGTTTATTAGTAAGTACAATATTTTAATCACAATATTGAAATGGCCCTGTAACGTTATATTTTAATATATATATATATATTAAGTGGCTTGGTGTAATTAAGGCAAATGTCAAAAAAAAAAAAAAAGTTTTTCAATAATTATGGGCTTTATGTTAGATTTTTGGAAATATATTTTTTTATTATTGTTCTGTGCACCAAGCCTTAGATATATATTATGACAAAAGTATGAATAATTGGTTTAATCTTTCTTACACAATATTTTAATTTTGAATTTTGCCAATACGCACTACTTAAAAGTATTAGGCTGATTACATTATGAATGAATTTTGTTGTTTATGTTTTAGTATTCGAAATTAAAAATGTATGATACGCAAATGATAAAGCATTAATTAGAAAAATATTTTGTAATTAAATTAAATACATACATATTAATTCATTAAGTATTATTCACTGTTTATTGTAATAATTTAAAAATAATATTTAGTAGACTAATATCTAAAATTACATTACGTTTGTTAATGGTTTGTATTTTATGTAACTTAATATACCAAAGTAGTAATTTGCAAAAAAATATTTAACTAACATAATGAAAAATCGTTGGAAAAATTAAATGTTAGAATTAATAAAATGTTTGATCATCAGTAAGTGTTAACAAATTTTCAAATTTAAAACAGGAACTATTACCTTAAAATATTTTTTGTAGTATATGCATGGATTAATTATTGATTTAATAAAACAAACTAAAAATGGCACAACACATATATATATCTCATACAAGTATTCAACTTTCACGAAAAAAGGATAACAAAATATGATTTAAAACATTTACCCCATCTTCCCAAAAAGTTAGTTATAATTATTTTGTATTAAGAAAAAAAAATATTTATAATAATCATAGACAATCAATAAATTACAAAATTATACAAATCTTAAGAGCATTACCAACATTCATACTTTTACTAAAACTTATAAATTTATACTAAAATAAGATTACTAATTTAAACTTAAGAAAAAAAAAATAAATTACACTTCTATCTAACTACAGTAATACATTTTTTTGAGATGAATAAATATTGTTTTCATTTTCCATTCTAGATTTTTTTTTAAATAATTATATTTGTGTGTATTAATGTGCGTTTTTTAATAAATATTATAATTTAAGTATTAAAATTAATATTAATTATATGATATATTGCACCAGTAGTATATACTTAAATAATAGGTTTAAAACAATAATGATAATGATACATATTATATGTGTAGTGTATGTATTCTTATTTTTATTTTATTGCTAAAATACTTTTGGATGGCACTTAAATTTAAATAAATTTACTTTTATTGTAAATAAATGTTGTATATAGTGTATTTAATGTTGTAGGTAACTTTATGGAAACTTCATGAGTTTAACTAAACTAAGGATATTGTTAAGGATGTGTCATCAATTAAGTATTTATTTCCACATATATAATTGAACTACTTATTGGCCAAATCTTGAAATCTTACACAAATTGTTGTCATAAAACGTCTCAGCATACCCTTAGCTCGATTCTGCCATTCATTAATTTTTTTTATGTTCGATTCAACTATAAAATAATAAACTAAAATAGTGAAATTTTGTTTAATAATTATAAGAATTAAATATTTAAATAATCATACATAAATGTGATCCTCCATTGCACTTGGTCTGAAAATAATATAAATTTTAAATAATTAAATGCATGATTTAATATTTATTTAAATATGATTACCTATAACAGGTTTGAAGGGAGTTAATTGAGATTTAAAGTTCTGAGTGGGGTAAGGAATGTATTGGTTTTTTAATGATGTTTATTTATTTTAATTTTCCATGAACAACTTTCTATCAGAAATGTTGCTCACTTGTGTAGCACCTTTTTTAAAGAAAATTTAAGGGGGGGGGGGTTCTTATGTGAGGTCATTTTTTTGATTTTCTTAAGGGTTTTCTTAGCAAATGAGAAAAATTGAAAAAGTTATGAAATGCATTGTTTTCAATTCTTAAATACCATGGTGTTTCAAAACATGTATAACCAAAATCCGCTCAGAATCGTTTTTTGGTTAGCAATGATTAATCTTTGCGTACAGATATCCATTGAATTTCCTCTCCACCTTTCCAACTTCTCACCTATAACAGTGTCCCACCCATCGTGCGAACTATGTATGTCCAGTTTTTAATGATGATATTACACAGATGTTAATGTGCTTATATATTGTCTGAGACAATAGATAGTTATAAGGACTAGTGGATAAAAGAGAAATTGAGCAAAGGGTTTAATGCGTTGGTAAAAGTATACACCACAATTTTAAAAAATATTTTATGGACAGTTATGAATAAAAAAAGAATATATAAAACTCACAACAAATTTAATGGTATAGAAATGTAAAGATGATAAAATATACTTTATAGATCTAGTATCTTTTACAGAATGAAAGGGTAGAACTGTAGAAGTAGATAATTAAGAAAGTAATAAAGATGTATTGAATAAATATAAAATAGCAGTAGGATGAGAAGCGTGTGGAATAGTAAATAAATTAGTTGATTTTATAATTTTGCTTGTGTGGAATAAAGTAAATAAAACAAATCGTTAAGATTAACAGATTCACAACAATTATTCTTTGTACATAAATTTTTAAGAGAAAATTTTTTCAAAAAATTAAAATAAATTGTTTAATTTATAAATATATTGAATAATACATTGATAATTTTATCGTATGCAAATATCTAAAACAAAATAGTTAAATACCTATTAAATATTGTAGATTTACTATATTTGGGTGTATCATAATACTATCTATGGTTTTAAATTAAAAGTTAGCAAACATTTATATAAAATGAATTACTGTAATATAATACAATATATGAGTATGTTTTAACATGGTTTTACCATTGTACGTTGGGCTGCTTCAATTTTGGCCGTTTCTATTATGTCATCAACGAATACATTGGCGACTGCCATTAACTCAGGATCATTATGCTCCTGTGTTATTGCCATTGTAAAAATGTAAAACAATTAATAGCTTAAAGTGTTGAATAAGAAATAATACACCGTTTGAATTAAGTTAAAACTGGATAAAAATGTAATGTTTCGAAATGTCGAACTCGCATAAAATACAAGTTAATTCACGATTGACTAGCCAATCGATGGTCTATTAATTTATTATCACTCGCAATTCACATTCATTATAATAGGTACTGTTTTGTATATATACAACTACGACTTACACATATAAACATTACATTTCTTATCTACATTTACTTTAATACTCTTTGGTACCGTAAATAGTTTTTATATACTCTTTGTAGCTATGTTTGCGCTAAATGATTAATTTGTTTTTTAATTTTCAAAATTAAAACCTGTAAATCTCCAAAATTACAAATTTCTAAAGTAAAAAATTAAAAACATTAATTCTAATATTTGAGCGCAGTAGAAATGTTTACGATTAATTCTTATTTTATTAAAACATACATAACTAATTAAAATTGTATTCGTTCATTTATACATTGTGTTATTATTTTTTTTATTGTAGAATATAGACATAATTATTAACTAGGTATTTGTATTAGTCTGAAAAAAAATGTTATACTCAAAGAAAGTATAACTAATTTTTAAATCTAACAATTTATTTTCACAATTTAACTTCTTATATTTGAATTTTTAAAAAAATGCCAGTTTTAATTATTATATAATACACATTGTTACGTAAACCTTTACCTAACCTTTTTGTTTTGTTGACCACGAACATGAGAAGGCCTTCTTGGACTGAGAGGGCCCTCCGAGGTTAGGCATGAGGCGTCCAATGGCGAAGGCGGCCTAGGATGCCTTGTTCGATATCGAGTGGAGGTATCCACTGAAGGTGAGATGTGAGTCAAGATGGAACCCAAAGTAACGCAGATTCCTTTTGATATGAAGCACGTGACTTCCAACTGTGTGCAATGGGTCATGAAAGGCCCATTTTTTGGTCAGCATGATGGTCTTGGTCTTATGGTGGGCCAATTGGAGTCTATGTTTTTTAATTCGGGTGTCAATGAACCTCAGCGTGGTGTTCAAAGCCTCAACCTCAAACCCCCATCGGAACGTCGAGATTGAGGTTGTCATAGAAGATGTTCCACAGTGTTGGCCCAAAAACCTAGCCCCGGGTGACTGATCTGATTGAACTGGAACTGTCAGACAAGTGTACTGTGAGGGTTAGGTTCTTCATATTCTCCATATTGATTGATTGATTAAAAACCTTAGCATAATTAGGTGTACGTATAGGTATATAAATATTCGGTTTGAATCCAGTTTTTTGCTTATGGTTAAAGATTGTGATTAAATGTTTATTTTTATTTAATTCGATTAGAACAGACAAATTTAGAATAAATTTAAAATTGTTCACATCAAATACCATATAAGTATAAATTGTCATTGTGCTCATTTGAAACATTAATTATAGACAAATTATTAATAAAAATTCCTCCCCAAATTGGTATACCATAAGTATAAAAATATTGTTGTTTGACTATATCCTTTTAAGAGTTATTAAATATATATGTATCTATGGGTAGTAATCTTCTTTAGATATCTGTGTAGACGAATTTACGTATGCCTGTTCCATTTTAGCATATAATCAAATATTCTGCCAAGATATTTTATTTCTTGTTTATTTTCAAGATTAATACATTTTGAATTAAATATAGAATTTAAATTAGGTATAAATTTTAACAAATGAGCTATTAATTAATTATTAGTTATAATATTAGATGATTGTGATTTAAAACTAATAAATTTTAATTTTGATAAATGTAATTTTAATTCTTACCAAGCATAGGGAGCTTATAAGGCTTGTAGTATAAATTATTAATTGTGATAATATTATGTTATAAGGCAGTATCTATTATTGTAAACCAATTTTCGTCAGTATTAAATTTAAAAAGAAAAATTGTCAAGCATTAAATAACAAAGCTTAGGTTTGCCATATCCTTTTGATATTTAAATTGTTATCTTTTAACTTTCGGAATTAAACCTTCATATAGGTAAATGATACAATGGCTGTTTTAGATAATTTAAAAAACGACTGCAAATTTATTGTTGATGGATTAATAAAATAATTCAGTGAATCTTCAATGTTATCAGGTGTCTTACTTTTTATATAACTTGAATAATCTTAGAGTAATAATTAATAAACATGATCAGTGGCGTTCTAAGGAATTTTCAATGGTGGAGGGAGGATTAGATAATTCCTAGAAAACTATGAAGGAGAAACTTTTGGCGCTCACCGCACTAGTTATTACATTTAATATTATTATTAATGATTACAATATGAAAAAAGAGCTGATACTGGAGACGGGTGCAGCCATCACTGTTGTAGGTGGGAAAGTAAGATACATAAAGTTAGTTAATTTATATCTGTACGCAAAGATAGGTAAATCATTGCTAACGAAAAAAGATTTGGAACGAAGTTTGGCAAGACATATTTTGAAATGCCATAATTTTTACGATTTTTATCAAAATTTTATTTTAAAACGCTTATGTAAAAATAACCAATGCATTAAACTCAAATTTGTGTTTTAAACCACTAAGTACAACTTAGTACCTCGTCTTAAATTTTCAAGTGTTTCAGTGTTTCTCATAAGTCATGTAATTTTAATAACAGATACTTACCAAATGAAAATAGTTAGAATCTTTTGAAAATTGTATTATGTCTACAAAAGACCAATATAAGTATTTTGTGAAAACTACAGATCCACAATAATTTTAATCAAATTACTATGAAAAATCTGAATGCTGTTCACTTCTCGTTTTTTCGAGGTTTTTCATAATTATTAGAAAAATTATACAGAAAATTAAACGACTTTTTTACTCACAATATGTGCCGTTATACTTATAATTTTCTTTCGCATTTTTCCCATTTATTTTGAAAAACCCTTAGAAAATCAAAAAATAACTTCTAACGCTATGAAACTGAAATACGGCTAATGGGGGGGGGGAGTTTATTTATTATAAGTATAACTAAATTTAAGCTATCATTATATCTTATATAGTTTGTCTTTTCGTAATCAAACTATTATTATCCTATTATAACTTAAACTAAATTTTTTTTTGTACTAGGCACTAGTTCTGCTGTATAAACTCGCATGTTAATTAAGTGGTTAATGGCAATAGTCGACTTTTCTTGAGTTAATATGTTTTTAAAATGGGGATCTAAATATATTATTATTATAATAGATCATAAATCAAACTATAGTATATAATGAACAAGAACAAAAAATATGTAGGAGATGTATACAGCCCCACACTATGACCGTAATCTGGCTCTGACAAAAGGTTTTAAATACCTATTGTACTCTTTTAAACAGCATCATAAGAAAAGTACAGAATCCGAAAAATATAGTTGGAAAGGTTTATGTTTGTTGTAATATAAGAATCTAATAAACAATAAAATATAACATTTTCTAGGTACTATTTTCACATTTTATTTTTAAAAAATCTACTTGATATTTCAAATTATGATACAATTATTATTACCAGTAGCGGAGCAATTTAATGGTTCCAAGTCAAAATATCTCTATGACATGAATTATGAATACCTCTTATTATTATTTTTTTTATCTTATGTTTTGAAAATGTATACAATTTTGAAAAGAGAGCAGTCATCACAAAAAGTATTTCATATAATACAAGTATTTATATAGGTGTATAACAAATATACGAGTGTTACCAGGTACGTTTACAAAAAAATATTTCGGTGGGAGAAGGGGAAGATTGTACACATCCAAACTCTTATAACAAAGAAGTTTACATAGGTACTTTTAATCGTAGGATTATTTATTTTTCATTACAAATGTTGCTATTTTATAACGTTAATTTTTAACTACCTATTACTAAATTTTATATTTCATAATTTTTTAGTGAATACAGTCTAAATGATAACGTAATTCATATTATTGTGATGATAATACGTATCGATAATGATAATTATAATCTAAGACCGTATGATACGGCTATGAAATATCGCCGTATTATTTATAATTATCTAAAAACAGGAAAATTACAAAAAAATTTAAAATGAAAATTATAATAACAATATATATCTAATATCCAGTAATAAAATAAAAATAAAAATTGTATTTATCTTTCTCATTGACAGCTTCTGAATGTTACTAAAATACTTCAAAATTAAATAATCTTTGTCGGATGATTCTGGTTCAGAAAAACGAAAAAAAGTAACTGAAAATAACGATTATATGCATTTAAACTTATTCAGTCAATACGACGATAATACATCATTTAAGAGGGATCGCCAACTAATTTGAACTATAACTGAAAACATAAATGTACTTATTTAATTTTCATTTTATTACATATATTAAATTTATTATACAAAATATCACAAAAAACATAAATATAAACACTTTTACATACGTACATTTAAAAAAGCTGTACTAGAATAATGGCCAATAGGGACGGGTGCAGCCACTGTTAGGTGGATAGTTGAGAAGGTAGGATACGGAAGGGAGTTTAATGTATATCTGTAAATAACGATAAATCATTGCTAACGAAAAAAACGATTCTGAGCGGAGTACAGTTGATAGTAATGCTTTGTCAACAATATATATATATATATATATATATATATATGTTACACACAAAGTCCGAAATAAAATATAAAATACGTGAAACTATAATAATTGTTATTTTTTAAAAGTATCTTCTTAATAATTATTATATACCTTTTATATTCATATTATTATATCTTATCTATGCGTTTTGTTTCCCACATTATCTAACTGGTAAAGGCATACCATACATGCAATGAAAATTATTAAGTTTATCTAAACGATTTTAGGATACTGTCGTTCAGTAATAAAATGTAACTTAAACAGACTTTAGTAGGATTAGTGTATTATACACTGTACTGCTGCAGTTTTCCAACATACCTATATTAGTGTAATTATGCAATCAAAATGATTGAAGTTGAGTATAATTTTAAGTTAGTCGAACAAATTAAAAATATTCATTTTAGTGTAAATTCAATGTAAAAAATGCATTATGTAGCTCTCGCTGTCATAACTCACTTGATCGTAAGAATAAATAATGAAACAATAGTATGTAAAAGAACCTACAGTGATTTCATGCTGACATTTGACAAACTATAAGAAATTATATTTGATTTTAGTAATATGTAGTTTTA